TGACTGTTTGTAATCACCGCAGAGAGGCTTATTAATACATATTTTCAATTTGAATAATTAATAAGGAGAAAAAGAAGCACAAGAAGAAAGAGTATTTTTGCAAAACAACTATTTTCATTTCCCCCGGTGAAAAGGAGAAGAAGAAAAGCGACAGAAAAGAGAAAATTACTTAACACGGCTCCCAAGTCGAATGTAAAAGCCAAAACGTGTTTGCCGGCAACCCCTCTCGAGAGACCCCCTAAAGCCCCCTACCCAAATTTCAACCCCCTCTGGCCAACGGCCATGTTCTTGCCGAGAGCCAAGAGTCATGCATCATGCAACACCCAAAACGAAATGAGAGCCGCTTTTGGGGGCAGCATATGAAAGTACAAAGGAAAAGCGAGGAGAAAACATGGCGAAGCGCCAAATTATGCGCGCATGGGTGGGGTAAAACGGGGTTTTCATTGCAAAAGGGGGTATTGCAAGGGGGCATTCCAAGGGGGTTTGTTGAGGACGCGACAGACAACAGAAGAAGAAACTGCAAATAATCACTCTCTCTCTCTTTGCCTTTCTTTCTTCCGTTCTTCTCTCTTTGGGGAGAGCACATTGCACTCGAAAGCTTTTTGGCCAATGCAGGCGGGAGCTTTGGGTTTCTCTCTCTAAACCGCCCAGCCACCCCCCACATTTTCCCCCTTTTATGCACGCCGGCCGGTTTTCAAAACTGCATGTGTGTGGGTTTAGTTTTTTGTCTGTGTGTGAGTGTGGACGCCATTGGGTTGACACGTGGCCGAAAGAGTTTGGAGCCCAGGAGCAAAAGCAGGCTGCGCTAAATCAGGATGCAGTGACCAAAAAGCAAGGCAACAAACAAAAAATCGACCCAAAAAAAAAAAAAGGCGAAGAAATCTCAGCTAAGAAGGCAGAACAAACCGGTTTGTCATAAACACATACACGAACACGAACACTAACAGAGGCAATTCAACTTTGTCTGGACTTTTCTTTTCTTTATTTTAAGTTCACTTTTTAATGATTTAAGCGGCGTCGGCGGCATCGAGATATTGGAGCCGAAGGAAGGGCGAATAAGGGAAAGGGAAAGAGAAGATGAGGCACAGCAAACGATGCAAAAGGCAAAAATCAAAATGGTGGCCCAAGAAGAGGAATTGGGGGTATTGCAAGCGGCAGTGAAGGGATAGGGGAATACCAAAGAGGTAGACGACGGCGTTTTAATGCGATTGTGACGATGTTAAATGCATTGCACGCACACACACATAGGCAAACGTAAAGGCAAGCGTCGCAAAAAAAAAAAAAACCATGCTGCATGCCTCTTTTTCTGTAAATGTATGTGTGTGTTTGGGGGCGCTTCCATTGTGGGGCCTTTGCGTTTGCTAATGTGAGTGTCTGTGAGTTGCAGTGTTGAACAACGCTGAGAAACGTGGGCGTTGTTGTTGTCGTTGTCGGTTTCTTTTTGTTTTAATAAATTTCAGTGAAAAACACCTGAACGCACATACATTTCATTTGAATTCATTTCGTTTCGTTTCATTTCACTTCATGCCATGCGTCAGCTGTTTGACTATTTAATTTTATACCCCATACGCAGCGTATACATATAGACGTTTCTAATTTTTGCACATTATTGCAAAGGCACACAAACACACGCACACATTATTAGAAGAGGCCTGCATATACATATACATGGGCACTTTGGGGCTGCAGTGCAAGAAAAAGAGAGAGGAGACGAACCAGAGGGAAGGCAAAGTGAAAAAATAAAATAAAATGCCGTCGCTTTTTGTTCCTACATCGGAACGTACTAAAACACACACACATGCACAGTCCTCACTCGAAAAACTCACACACACAGGCACTTGATACGATATTGTTGTCTGCTCGCTCACTTTTTATATTTTTATACATATATAGCTCAAGTCAAAGTATGTGTGTAGTCACTAATTGCAAATTGCAGTTCGCAAATGTATCGCAAAGATACTGAAATTACCTTTTTTTGTTTTATATTTTTTTTTTTTTTTTTATTTGGCTTGCACTAAGAAATTCACAATATTACTTCGTTGCGTTCAATTTGAACTATTGATATTTATATTATTTTTTTGTAATTTTATAGTTGTAGTTACTCTTCTCGACGTTGCACAATTTGTTGCTAGATTCCTGGCATTTTCTACATAGATATTTTGTATATTATTTAAGATCGTATCGTATATGAGATCACAATTGGCCGCCCGCCGTTCCGTCGTTACGTTTCCGTTTTGATTCGCATACCGCGCGCGCTCTCTGCCAACATATTTCTTTATAATTTGTTTTTTTTTTGTATGATAATATAACTATGGGAATTTATGGTCTTATGTTATTTTTATTTGATTTTCCTTGCGTGTTTCTGTTTTGTTTTTGGCAAGCACACTTTTCCGACGAGCTGCAGTTGGCAAAGGTAGGTTATTTTTGGGTATGTCCAATTTTTTGCGTGAGGCAGCCGCGTTGTAATAATGGCGGACGGCAACGTCTACGTCACCGGTTCTCGGTTCGCCAACGTCTGAGAATCGAACTGAGAATCGGGAATCGAATCGAGAGTCGAGAAGCAGAAGCAGAAGCTGAGGCTGTAGCCGCTCCGCTCGCAATTCTGGTCTTCACGTCGTCACTTGCGTCGCACAACAAAAGCCACAAACCAAACAACTACAACTCGGGGAGTCGCAGTCGCAGCCACGAAAAAGCTGCAGCGACAAAAGTGCACGCATACATTCGTGCAAGGAGAGCCCACGGAGCGTCACTCTCACACAGATACGTTTGTATCTCAGGAGGGCAAAAAGTTTCGCAAAAAAAAAACCCACAAGCAAGAGAGACCGGGAGAGTCTAAAAAGGAGAGAGAAGAGAGATAAGCAGCGCGAGTGGCAGCAGAATTTGCACAACAAAGCGAATGGCGAAAAAACATGCTCTCTGCCCAAAGCACACACAAACAAACCTTACAATCTCTCACTCTCTCTGTCGTTCTCTTTTTTGCTGGGCCTGTGAAAGATCGCGGAAAAAGACGAGAATCGAATCTTGTCGGGTGTGGAAGCCAAGTCTTCATCTTCAAACTCTGGAAGCTAAAAACAGTAAACCAAAAACCAGCCAAACAAAAGTGAAAATGCCTCATTAATAGGTTAAAAGAATTTCAGCAAGTTCCCTTTTACACAGAAAGAAAAGATGATGTAAAGAAAGAGTACCGTTTGGTACTTCTACACCGGAAAAGTATTCTTATGAACTCAAATTTTTAAGTAATACATTACTTTTTTCAAATCATATTATTTTAGTTACAAAAAAGAAAGATAAAAATTCTAATTTTTTCATAAGAAATAGTTTTAATATTGACTTACAAACGGCAAACTAGATAGTCTAAATACCCAACCTCTTTTCTTTCTGTGCAACGTATCTTTCACATACACTGTCGACGTTCCACAATGAGTTCCACAGACACAAACACACACACGAGCATGAGAAGCTTCTATGCAAAAAAGAACTGCTGAACATTCCTTCAAAGGGGTTAAATGAGCGAAAACAACAAAAAGAACGAATGCCCAAGGGCTGAGTGTAAAAAACGTAGATGCTGTCTGTAAATTTTTATACTACTTTGGCATGAGGGCAAATCGTCAGTTGAATCGTTAACTAAAATAAACGCACACAGTTGCATTAGGGCTTTGCAAACACACTCACAGATACATTTATAGATGCCGATGCACAACACGCATAGTTACGGATACAGATACAAATACTCCCACACAGATGCAGCTGAGAGATGACTGGACAGTGGGTTTGGTTTGGGTTAGGGTTTTCCTGGGGGTCGTCGGGTTGGAAGGAAACTGGAACCCCAACCACCCACGCCGGCTTTCCGGCATTTTGGTCATGAACTTGTGGGTTTTGCTCGTCTGCCGGCCGACAGCAACCACTGCACCACCCACTTTCCGATCTCCCTGCAGCCCCTTGCTCTCAGGTAAGTGGCTCGTCAGCACGTGAACATCCCGATTCAATACCAAGCGAATCTCTCACTAGCGGTGTAAAAATAAACAAAAATAAGAGGAATTCGTTCGCTACTCAGCACTCGCCTTTAAATCAATGCTGAAATATGCTGAAATTATTTACTTTGCGGTACAACTTTAGAGGGTCTCTCGAGTTACCCAAAGTTTGGGATTTTTTCGAAAGATGAAAACGGAGACCCTGGGAAGTGGTCTTAAAAAAAATAGTATGAAAAAACATAAGTGGGTGCCGCCGACTAACAGTAAGTCAGCTGGGTAACCTTAGAAGCTGGTAAAAGAATTCGAGTGTGTTGGCTAAATTCCAGGAAAGTGTGAGAATGTTTGCGGTCAATAATCACACCCCCTGAAATATGATGAATACAGAACGATACAAGAATTCTTCTGATACATTCCTTTATAAATGGTCTATCAAAAAAAAAAACTATTTGAAGAAAAGAACTTAGAAGAAATTTAAAGAGCCAAAATTAAATAATTTCATAATTTTAAGCTGACTGTACAATATATTTTTTTAACTTAAAATGGAAAACTATCTTAACACTCAAGGTCGCAGAAACAAGGTAATAAATTAAATACGTATTAGGATCTCAAAGAGATTACATAAGAATCAAAATGTTCTGCACGTATGTATATGGAAATATCATAAGAATAATTATAAAAGTTTGATAAAAAAATGATAAATTAATGTACTTTTTGTAAGCAAACTTCTAAGGGTTTAAGAATAAATTTGCATTTCAAAAATATCTATATTGAGAGCCATAGGAAAATGTAGAATTATCAAACATCAAAATTAGTTAAGCTCGAATGAATAAAAACCCCTTCTATACAAATGTCTTGGCCAGCAACCTTGAGTCACCACCATCCGAAGGCGATATCTTTACGACGGCTAATGAAATTCTTTGCTGAATCGAGCTATAAAAATGCACAGATCCATATCTGGTCTATTTAGCGAAAAGGTGTGCCCGGCAGTAGCAGTAAAATAGTGATTTGAAATCAGAATTGGTTACTTACTCGAGCGAATTGTTGCTGCAACTTCCGAGTAAAGAGTATCTCAGGCACTGTGTATCCAAGTGTGTGGGGTGCTGTGGTTGCTAATGATGATGACGATGTATCCAATGGGTGCTGTAGATATTTAATCCGAAAATGTGCTAAGCTATATTTATGCGAATTAATGCGAATGTGTTTTTGGTTTTTCTGAGTTTTTTTGCACTATTCAAGAACTTCACTGGAGATATTATATAGATATAGATTCACTTGACCGCACTTATTGACTACAATTGATGTGTGTGTGTATGTTTGTTGCAAAATATATTTGCCACTTTCGCGCTTTTCCGACACGTTGCGTTGCGAGTGTAGAATCGAGAGTGTGGAGATATGGAGATGCGATGCTCTGGTCGGAGAGTACAGTAGATCACCGCCACCGCTCTCTCTCTCTTTGTATTTAGCTCAATAGCTTTTATTCAGCTTTTGTGACCAGGAATGCAGCTCTGCAGTAATTGCAATCAGCGGTGCATTCGCCAGCGAACTGATCGCCTGTTGCTGGGGGCTTCAGCTGCAGATCGTTGATCGGAGCAGCGCTGCACAGGAAGTGCACGAAGCCTCGGAGAACAAGTTACGAGCGCTCGGCTTTCCCGATCGTCGTCCAACGTCGATCGGCCGATGCAGTTGCACTCTCAGTTCTCTTTTTCTTTTCTTGTTTTTTCCTTGCCTTTTTTTTATTTTTTATATTTTATTTTTGATGGGGCGTATACGCCGCGCGTAGAGCTTTGAAACCTCGATTGGCGATCGTGTGTATGTGGGGGATCCCGAGCCGTTTCAAAAGCTTCGGATGCACTTTCCCTGGCTCTGCGGGTTACGTAAAGCTGGCGCAGGCTATCGATTTCGGGCAGGTAGTAGTAAGTATCTTGGCTAATTTTGATTGAATTTTCCTTTTAGCTATATGAATTTCGTTTAGATTCGGTTTCGAAAGTCTCGGCCGACTGCGTTTCGTGGCTTATTTGGGCGATCCAATCTGGTACAATCCAAACCGTTTGAAAGTAAATTGCAAATGTGTGTGTGTGCAAAACGCAGTCGCTGATCACAATTTGTTGATTGCTCTAACTGGTTAATTATATAATTTAAATTGTTTTCAGTGTTCGCCTCACTTGATGATCATAATTTGTCACTAAACACAAAGTATGTATGCACTTTTAGTTGTTTTACAATTTGTTTTTGTATTTTTTATTCGATTTGATTTCGTTTTAGGTTGTGTTTGTTTCACTTGTTAAAACTTTATAGATTTTGTATTTGATTTTAATGCATTTCCAGACATGTCGCTGCATTTTGCGTACGCTTTTAAAGTTTGCAACGCGTGGCCATAGATACTTTCCCTCCCCGTGCTTATTACAAGTTTTATGCCGCTTGATGACTGCACCCGTTTGATAGTTACGATGTTATTATTATTAGTTATTAAAATTAAAAGCGTAATTGGCTTGTACACTTAACCATAGTAGAGAATATTATCAAAGATTTACCGTCGTTATTAAATGTAGCAAATAAAGAAAAACTTAAACAAAAACTGGCAAATGTTTGGCTTTAACGTTTTAACACTTAACAAGTTTTACTGTGTGATTATAATTCGATTCTATTGTTAGATTTTCCGATATTGACTGATGGCTGGCTCTATTGCAGTTGATAAATAGATTTATTTTTATGTGATGTGTAATCCAAAGTGTTTTGATGAAGTTGTCGTATGCGCGGACTCCGATCCAGAATAGAATTTTGACTAAAAGATGTTGAGATTTCCAACGTTGGCTGTTTGTTTTTAAATTTTGGCTGATTATATTATTATTTGATGTTTATTTAAATTCCGAAAGATGTGTGGTGTGGTAGAGTTTCCTTAACCGTTTGTGTAAAAAGTTCCAGATTTGTGGTTGCAATATTTTCGCATGGTCGTTTGCGCGTCCGCGATACTTTCGATTGGAGTGGCGATGCGATACAGATACAGATACCCGGCTGGCTGGGTAGTCAGTCAGTCTCAGAGTCCCGAAATTTAGACTCTCCGTCGTTGGCGACAAAAAAGCTTGCAGTCGCAGCCGCACACAGATACACCAATACACTCGCAACTGCAAATGCGAGAGCCAAAGAGCATTTGCCGGCAAAGGTGAAGCTACGCACACAGGCGCATTCTGCGCTTCCTTTTTGTTTTGTTTTTGGCATTCGCAGCGGCAGTCGCATGCATTGGTATTGCAACTTCTCTCGCTCTCTCTCTGAATCACACACACACACACACACTTTAACGTAGCCTGCTTTTTGTAGTTCTTCAACCCAGCTAGCAACCACCCAGCTTTTTGCCGGCTTGTAGTCAAACCTTTTGTCGCCCAGAGAGAACTCTCCGGTTGCTCTCTTCTCTCTAGTTTTTTGTGGATTTTTTGCCACTTTGGATTGACCCCTCAGAGATTCTGATTCAGATTGAGATTCCGATGCCCAAAGATGCCAACAAAGTCGCGATGCGTTTTGTCGCCAGGGGCTCTTGTATCTTTCTCTCTCACATGCCATTCGGACTCTGTTACCCCTGCTGCTATCTTCCCTCTCGCTTCCACTTGCTCTATGTTTGAGAAACATTTCAATTAACTGCAATTCTTCTGCTCCCATCGCTGCCCGCCGGGCAATCCGTTTTTATGATCCATCCACATACATCTACTCACTTCACTGCCCGCCATCCGTCCAAGTTTAATTAACTCGAAGTCACGGACAATGGCCGAGCGACAAGTAAAGCGTATCTAGATGCCCTCGATAAGATCTGTCATGGCTCTATGTGCCCATCTCTCTTGGATTCCGATTCTGAATCCGTTTCGGATTTTCGCCACTCGCTAACTCAATTTGCCAGACACAGCAGGTGCGATGACCGCTCTTGGGGGAGTATAAAAAGTTTCATGGGAAAACTTAATGATTAATCTGTTAGTGGATAATCTATTATTGAATCTTATATAGTATTGCAATCCTTTTCCTTTTAATAACGCCATATGTTTGAATGAATTTTCCTAATATTAGTATTTAACGGCTTTTAGGTAAAGTAGTTTTAAATATATTTTTGAGGTATTATTAAAAGATTACAAATTTTATCTTAGAAATCATCTTTCTTAAATCGAACTTCATATTTAGCTAAAAATGATTTAAGTCGTGAGCAGCCGTCTAGAAAAGCAATAACCATTTTGTGCGTTCTACATTGCCGTTTTTACCCATGATCGTAATAAACTTTTTCACAATTCAATAAAGTCAGACCTCACTAATGAGAACGTATTTTTATTAGAACAAAATAGTTGGCATCTCATTAAAACTAAAAGAATGATATTTAATTACAGTAGAACTTCACTATAAGAATGACCCATCCACCAAATAATTTTATGTAAGCCTGACTGGGTTGACTTAAGTAGAAACGTCAAGCATAAGGGTTTCCTAAAGTTCAAAGTTAATTATAAGTTAAACTTATAATAGTTCAATTTAGGGAAGTTCGACTGTAGAAGCAACAAAGGCCTCCTGTGGGCGAAGATCGAAACCGTCTTCTTTTGCAACCGGGGCAGAAAACGAAAGCCAAACGGAGCGAATGTAGGCAACGAGGCCGCAAGGATAACGTTGCTGCTGCTGATGATGCCTCACATTGATCACGATGACCATCAGAAAAAGAAGAGGCAGCAGCAGCATCATCAAAAATCGGAAGCATCATCAAGCGCGGCGGCACCAAGAATAAGAACAACAACAAATGTCCGTATCTGCGGCGATAACGCAGTTTTTCGTTGCGATCCTGTTTTTATTCCCACAGTTTTGCGAGGCTTACATCTGACGGGGGACGCAGTGGCCCCGTAGTGGCGGTGGCTATATGGTAGCTATGGCATAGGGGAATATCACGGGCGCATGGTCATCATCAAGGCGATCGGATCGGATCGGATCGTAGCGCTCTTCTGCCGGCGTCGCTGCGATGGTCTCGAAATAATAAGATGACATCCAACACTTCTTGCGATCCGAGGAGGCACACACAAACACAAGAAAGCACACTGGCAAAGGCACAGGCACACAAAGCTCGAGAGACCCTACCCCCATATGTGTGTGTGTGTGCCCTGTGTGTTCCCCTAGCAACCCCCTCCGATCCCTCCTTCAACCCCCTGCCATGCCAGCCGCAGAGACCGTTCCAAATATTTTTTCATATAAAAAATCAGATTTTTTTCCCTCTCGCGCGCATAATAAAACTTTTTCTGCATGCTTTTCATTTCATTTCCTTCGAGATGCCTTCGAGTTGCCGAGGGTCGAGCGGTTTTTAGGGGGAGGGCGGCAGACAGCAGCGCACTTGGCCGCCGCACAAAGGAAGATCACGACGCAAGGACTTGTCTGCATTCAAATTAATGTAGGTAGAGGTAGAGGTATTCGTCCTTAGCCTCGTCCTCGAATGTACCTGAACCTCTCTCTCGCAAAAGGATGGACAATGTCCAGGGCCCAAAAACTTATTGAGCCACGCTGATATTTCGTTTTTTTCGCTCTTCCTCTGGCTCGGCTTTTTATCGCCGGTGGTTGCTCATGCTTTTGCTGCTGTACTCTCAGAATCAGCGAGCAATGCCTTTGATTATTTGAGGAGCAAAAAAGCTGAGATTTTGAAATCTCGAGAAAGTTTTGGGGTTAAACTACAAGCCAAAACGTGTGGGTGCGGGGTTAAATATCATTTTAATAAAAATATTTCACCTAATTTTTAAAATATTTGATTTGTTTAAGTTATTATTTATTACTTTAAAAAGGAGTATTACTTTATATAATAAGGAGATGTAGAAAGAAGAAGCTTCCACACTAGCATAATTATGATAGTAATGACGTTTTATGAAAAGTTTAATATAAAATGTACACTTTTTGATTAGTTACTAAGACAAATTCTAAGTACCACTAAGAACTCTTGAATAAGGAAATTGAAATGAAAACATTTATTAAGGAATTCCATTATAATAGTTAATTTGTAGGCCAATTATAAAGCTTTTTGTTTTTAATTAGTTTTTTTTTATTACATTTTAATGAAAAAATCTTATAAATAAAACTACTAAACTGTACATTTGATATCAAAATCGAGAAAAGAGAAGTTCCTCAGAAGAGTTCTGGTCACCGTTGCGAAACGTTGTTTACCCAAAATCTTAAATGCCAACCCAGAAACAGGGACAGGAAGTGGATGACCAGCCGCAGCGAGGACATCACAAGAGGAGGACGTTGGAAAAAAAAAACGAGCCATGAAGGAAGGAAACTCAATGCGACATTTGCATTTTTAATGCAGACCCACATATAAAACTAAGTTTTTTATGAGTTGATTTTGATTTGCGTACTTCTTTTTATATGTATTTTTTTTTGCATTTGGCCAGCGACTGGTTCGTATCGTCTAATTTTTTTTCACTCGCCGCTTCCTTTTTTTATATATATATTTTATTTAGCGCTGCGAGAGGCGGTCGCTTGACCAGCTATTGTCTGTGCCACGGTGTCACCTTCGAGCGGCCAGCAGGACTAGCAGGATCAAGGGGATCGAGGGGATAAAAATAGCAATAGCCAGAGAGCTGACCACGCAGACAAGACAAAAAGCTAAGCAGAAAAGCACACACAACGGGAGGAGCGCAGTATCCTTTTGTGATATATGAGTAAGTTGTACCTGAAGGATATGCGCTGAGCCGTTGAGCACACACAAACTGGAGGCGCACGGAGGCAAGCAAGCTGCACCACCATCATCATCATCTTTATACGACGACTCTGGCTCGGAGTTTATCATTCGATATCGAGCACAGCGTGATTATATTGTGGATGAATGGACTGAGGATGGGTGCTGTGTAGGGCTGAGGATGAGTATGATGACCGCACCCGTGGCCTGGACACCCCGAAATCCTGCACAGAGAGCAAGAGAGAACACCCCTCGGTGATCTTCTTGGGTCGCGGTCTTTGTTTTTATGGCCATGGCTGGTGGGAAAATTTATCTAAATTGTCGATGGCGTTTTTTTCCTCATCTTTTTTTTACATTTGATTCCTTTGCAAAAAGGATTTCTCTTTCTTTCGTTTTTTTGTCATATTGTGGAATGTTTTGTCGTCACTTTTGGAATGAAGCAGCTACAGCGAAGGAAAAAAATAAATATAGTAGAATGATGCGCCAGCAAATGGCCAAAGTCCATAAATTAAGCCCGAGGCAGGGACAGAAGGGCAAGGCATCTGACAGCGGCCAGGATCGATGCGAGGAAGTAGAACAAAAAGCTGGCAATTGGATGAAGGTGTTAAAATATAATGCGCCCTTGTTCCGCATCCTGCCAAGGACCCTTCGATTCGATCCGAGGCGATTGCCCAGGCAACGCTCCGATGTGCGCGAATAAACAGAAGGCGAATTTCCAAACATTTTTCCAATTAGCTGTCAAAAGGAAAGTCACTTGACGTTGCCGCCGGGAAAATCAACAAACTCGCGGAAAGTAGTTGAAGGGTGGGGAGTTGTTGAGACACGCAACCTGCATTAAGGGGTTGGCAATTATTTTTAACGAATGCGACCTGGTGGGTGGCCGCCAAAGGTCCTGGGTCAATGTTCTCCTGAGGTGCCCATATCGCTCATACGCCCTGTGTTTTGGAATCTGTGTACCTTTTTCTGGGTCAGTACGATCTCAGGCCAACGGATCGCGGGGCAAGATTAAGATCCATCGAAAGTAAAACAAGGCACAGCTGACGCGGCATAAATCTGTGCAATCTCAATCGCAGCTGCAACTGCAACTGCAACGGAGCCCAACTTCCACGCAATCAACGCATTAAATCAATTTTAACTTGGCCTACTTTTGCCTTTCGCCATTGCATGGGGCGAGTTATTCTCACCGCGCTTTTTTTTCCTAAAACAAAAGGCACAACTGCCGACCCTTGCAACGAGCAATGCAATGCAGCACAGCAGCAACATCGCAACAGCAGCTTGCACATGGTGCAGCCTGGGAAAGATGCAGGCAAGGATTTTGTAGGGAGACCTTCGGTGGAGGAGGACGACGGGTCAGGCCCATTGAAATGCAATCTGAGCACACATGGCGACGACAACGGCGCTTTTAGTTCGCCCGCTCGTATATTTGCGGATATTTTGAACGTGGTTAAATTGCAAGAACGCGTTTTTTGTCGCCGTCAAATGAATACGAAATGTTTCACCTACATTTCCCAGCAAGGTGCCACCACTACAACCTAAGTAGATGCATCACGTTTTTAGATGGTGTTTTTCCTTTTAGCCAGCTTCTACATTTAAGTGCAATAATAATGTGTGTAAAAAGTCCACTGAACTTTCTGCTGGCAAGAAATGCATTATGTTTTAATGTTAGCAGATAGAAGGTCTTCAAAATGAAGATAATGAAACTTAATGATTCACTAAATCTTGCTTTATAAATATACTTCTTTTCCCTTATAAGAACAGAGTTATACAAATGTTTATTTTAAATCTATCTTAAAGTTTATGAACCATCGTCAGCGAAAATGGGGCCTCTGGAAAAGGGAAAAACTGCACACTGAAGGATATCAGCATCGACATCCGAGCTCTGCCATCGCGGACCTTTTTACCATAACCAAAGGCCCACCTTTCCGCTCTTCGCTCTCTCTTACATCTCCATTCTGCAACACTGCAACATATTACATGGCTATTTACTTAACCCATTAATTCTGTAGTCGAAAATATGATGTTGCAAGGTGCTGACATGGCAAAGGGCTAACCAGAAACGGTGGCACAACCGGGAAACCCAGGCCAGACCCAGAACACATGCAGCCGGCAAATATGCGAAACGTGGCGCGAAGAGCATGCTCAAGTGCTATGTACTTGCATTTGCATTATGTAAACGCACTGGGGCCCAGGCCATCCACTACCAAGCCAACCAAACTTGCTACAGTGAAAAAATATTCTGTCAAATTTAAAAACGTTTTTAAGACTACCTTTTAGTAAAGTAATAGTAAAATGATAAACAAAAAAAGACAATCTATATATTTATATATATATATATATTTTTTACTACTTTTTTTCTTGTGCACCAATCCAACCTTTCAGTGAGTCAGGCAGCCTGCCAAGTGAAGTGGGCATGTGTGGTTTACATAAGTCGAGAGTGGGACCCGGACTTATATCGGTAGAGGGACTGGAACTGGACCTACATCAACAAATGTGTGGCCAAAGGCTGCCTGAAAACGAAAGGAGTGCAAGGAACTCGGTGCCGGCGGCACAAACTAATGGAGAGCAACTGCTGTCAGGCGCTTTATGTAACCGTAGACATTCGTGTAATTCAAGGAGACTAAGGCATCAGCTTGTAATGTGAGATCCAGATGGGCAGGTTCTGCCAATATAAACAGCATAAAATGGCTCTAAGCTCATCTACAAAAAAAAGAAGCTTGAAGTGTCCTTTAAAAGGCTAGTTAGCTTTTGGCTTAGGAACAAGCTACTTAAATAGAAGAAATCGTATATAAAAACATAAATAAAACCAATCTCTTTAACACTACGAGTTTCCTAAATGAATCATGTTCCTATAATTATGTTTAGCTTTAAAAAATTTTAAGTTTAACTAAACAATTTGCAATATATAACTCACCATTTCCATGTTGTCCCAAGGGGCTTGATAACGAGGAGTACACTTCCGGACTGAAGCTCCGATATGAATCGCGACCCAGGTTGTGGGCAACTGCAAAAAAAAAGCAAATAAAAGCAACAATTAAAGTGTCCAATCCACCAGGATGACGTCATCTTAAAATAATTATTGTTCGTTTTCGGGGAAAAACAGAAATAACGCTTATCGGATACCGATAAGGTTTCTTTATCACATTTAACCTGTCGTTAAACAATACAAAAGACTGCCATTTAGTACTATAACAACACTTCAAGCTGATCAAATGTTTAGCTGAAGATGGCGAAAAAAGTGAATATTGCAGATATCAAACTGAGTCAAGTATACATATATTTCACCTGAAATATTCTTCTGGGCTAATAAGCTTGACTATCCCAACAGAAACTTGGATCCGGAACGGGCGGAGTTGTTCACAAAGCCACCTTTCAGGATGAGGAAATCGCGGTGAAGGTGTTTGACACTCAACATCCGACAAATAAGAAAAACGCAGAAAGGGAAATCATACATTTGTCCCATATTAGCCATGAAAATGTTATAAAAATATTCGGCACGGCAAAAGATGGGGATAAAGAGTACTTGTTAATGGAATACCTGAAAGATGGGTCTGTCCACGATTTGCTTTACGGTAGTAATCAGTGGGAGTACACTGTGGAGCAAGCTGTTCGTTGGGCTTTTCAAGGGGCCAAGGTAAGGGTCAGATTTTCTGCTAATTTATTTTAAATCTTATTAATAATTATTTTAGGGGCTAGCCTACTTGCATTCCCTGGATCGACCGGTGGTGCATCGTGATATCAAGCCGCAGAACATGTTACTAGATAATATGTTTGAAAAGCTTAAGATTTGTGACTTTGGCTTGGCCACGGATATGTCCAATAACCAGTCGGATATGCGAGGAACAGTGAGGTATATGGCTCCAGAGGTTGGTTGGTTAATTAAGTAGGTTTATATAGAACTATCTAAATACAAGTATCTTCAAATCACAGGCCATCAGATATACAAAGTATACGGATAAGTGCGATGTCTACAGCTTTGGCATAGTGCTCTGGGAAATTATGGCGCGTAAAGTGCCTTACAGTCATTTGGAGAATGCTGATCAAGCATTTAGCATTATGGAAGCTATCGTTCAGGGTAAGACAAACTACTGTTTTTATGAATAAATAAAACCTTTTACACCCTGTTAGGTGATCGTCCTGATATGAATGAAGTCAGACCCGATTGCCCGCAGGGCATCAAACAGTTGATAAAATGCTGCGTGGATGAAGATCCCGAAAAGCGCCCCTCCATGAAGGAGATCGAAGTGTATCTGGACAAATGTGTTGCCACTTTTGCTTATTATAATTTAATAAATCAATCATTTTTTAAACTGGAAAACGCTTGCAAACTGGCATAAAATTTTAAATGACAATTAATTTCGAATGTATATTTCAAATAATAGATAAAATATTATATTATTCCATCCGTGCAAGGATTTGTAAAAATAGAAGTACGTAACATTGTTCGCCTTAAGCAAAGCATAATCGTACATGGATAAATAGCTATTGGTAAGTATACATTGCCTTATAGATTCAGTTAAAATATCTCCATGATAAGAGCCACCCGCCCAGGTTGTGGTAAACTGCAAAAAAAGGAACAATTAAATGACTTCATTTCAAACAAATTATTATTCGTTTTCGGGGAAGAACAGAAATAAAGCTTATCGGATACCGATAAGGTTTCTTTATCACATTTAACCTGTCGTTAAGAAATACAAAAGACTGCCATTTAGTACTATAACAACACTTCAAGCTGATCGAGTTTTTAGCTGAAGATGGGGAAAAAAGTGAATATTGCAGATATCAAACTGAGTCAAGTATACATATATTTCACCTGAAATATTCTTCTGGGCTAATGAGCTTAACTATCCCAACAGAAACTTGGATCCGGAACGGGCGGAGTTGTTCACAAAGCCACCTTTCAGGATGAGGAAATCGCGGTGAAGGTGTTTGACACTCAACATCCGACAAACAAGAAAAACGCAGAAAGGGAAATCATACATTTGTCCCATATTAGCCATGAAAATGTTATCAAAACCTTTGGCACGGCAAAGGATGGGAATAAACAGTACTTGTTGATGGAATACCTAAAAGATGGGTCTGTCCACGATTTGCTTTACGGTAATAATCAGTGGGAGTACACTGTAGAGCAAGCTGTTCGTTGGGCTTTTCAAGGGGCCAAGGTAAGTGTCCCATTTTCTCCTCATTTTGTATAATACTAAAGTTATTTTAGGCTTTAGCCTACTTGCATTCCCTGGATCGACCAGTGGTGCATCGTGATATCAAGCCGCAGAACATGTTACTAGATAATATGTTTGAAAAGCTAAAGATTTGTGACTTTGGCTTGGCCACGGATATGTCTAATAACCAGTCGGATATGCGAGGAACAGTAAGGTATATGGCTCCAGAGGTTGGTTGGTTAATTAAGTAGGTTTATATTATATATAGAACTATCTAAATACAAGTACCTTCAAATCACAGGCCATCAGATATACAAAGTATACGGATAAGTGCGATGTCTACAGCTTTGGCATAGTGCTCTGGGAGCTTATGGCGCGCAAAGTGCCTTACAGTCACATGGAGAATGCGGATGAAGCATTTAGCATTTTGGAAGCTGTCGATCAGGGTAAGTCAATCTACTGTTTTTATGAATAAATAAAAGCTTTTACACCCCATTAGGTGATCGTCCGGATATGAATGAAGTGAGACCCGATTGCCCGCAGGGCATCAAACAGTTGATAAAATGCTGCTTGGATGAAGATCCCGAAAAGCGCCCCTCCATGAAGGAGATCGAAGCGTATCTCGGCAAGCAGTGCGAAACCGGGGAAAATGAGGACTTCATCCTGCCCATGGACGAAGACACCGTTGCGGCGGTGACCTATCACGAGGATCCGTCAGATGGTGGCCAAATGATGCTCGTTGAGCTATGGCGCCGTAATAATCGACCGGCCCGCATAACCATTCCAATCGGGCGAGAAGTGGAGAGATTGGGAAAGGTCATTGCACGCGAGACGGGCCGAGCTGCCCAGGATGTGGGCGTGGAGGTGGCTAGGGCGGCCAAAGATGGCGAGCGGGAAACCCGGCGGGCTGAGAAGGACACAGAGCGTGAAACCTCAAGGGCTGCCCACGATGGGGAGCGGGAAACGCGAAGGGCGGCGCAGGATTTGGGCCGCGAAACTAAACGGGCGTTCAGGAAAATAAAGAAGCCCTTTTAACTAGAAATATGATTATTAATTCGTTATGCTAATGTGCGGGCAATGATTAATAAAGCCGACTGCATGCAGAGAGTCCTCCTCCTCTAGACAGCAACCCTTTCACAAAGGACGATGCCGATGCAAATGCAAACTGCAAGGGGTAGGCCTATGGAAAGCTTAGACTGCATTAAGCACGAAGGATAAGGAATACTGAATACGGAAAAAGGAAAGGAATGGAATATGGAAAGGTAGGGATGTGAGGGATGTGAACAACAACGGCAAGGATGACGGCTATAAGGACGATGACGGCGGACATGACAGCGACGTCGAGGGGTGGAGTACAGTATGTACCAAGCGGTGCATTGCTGCTCCTGGCACAGCGCGACTCCTTGGCGTTTTTGCATTGTTTCTTTCTATAGGAAAAAACATACATGGATGTGTCTGCGTGCGTTTGTGTGTGTGTGTGTGACCGGAAACTGCCATTTAAAGTGCATTTTGGAGAGTCGCTCAGTCAGAAGAGAAACGGAGCGAGAGCTTGAGCTTCACTTGTGTGTTAAGTGAAAAAAAGCAGAAGGAGACTCCCCCCTCTCTTAGCATTCCCCATTTTTTCCAGGTTTGTCGTTTGGTTTTCGAGCTCCTCTCGCCGGTTCTCGTTTTTGCATGCATACAAGCAGCTCCTTTTGTGAGGGATCCTCCAAGCCCTTACCCCACCCTCTAAGAACAGCACCACTCTCCCCCTTTGCCACCAACACGTGTAATCCAACTCCTTTTAATTACATTCAATACCCCATCCACAAATGTCGTCCGTCTGCTCCAAGGTGTTGACAGCCAGTTTTTATTTTATTTTTTTTTTTAATTTTTTGCCCTTACCTCAAGCTTTAACCTTCTGTCCAAATATCGATTTTCAGATGCAGAAGATCCCAGAGCATTCCCAATCGCCAGCCATTGTAAGCTCAACGAGGTGTTAAAACATTTTGTAAGAGATGGCCTCTGCACAGGTTGCGGCCAGAACGCAATGCAATCAAGTGTCACTAATCTCGATCGGGAGATCATATTTGCATAAACTGCATTCGGCTTCACCTTGTCCAGAGCTGCAATCTGCAGATACTGCAGTTTTCCAATGCAGTAAGCTGAGAAGCCTTTGGGTCAGATAAGATTAAGCTGCTAATTAATGAGCTCTTGCTAAAGGTAATTCTTGGGATAATCTAAGGAGCCTAATAGGCCGCACCCTACATATTTAAGTTATGTGGACAAGTGGACGAATTATACCATTACGCTAAGTATAAACTTGTTTTCTTAAGACAATGTATTGATTAAGAATCTGATCTATATATGAACGAGAGATGAAAATATAAGCATTAAGCTAGAAATATTCCCGATTCTTGTTTTCCCGCTTCGGATCTTTCAACGGCGTTTGGTCAAACCCTTCATCAAATAGCAGCAGATATCTAAGTATGCATATCGGCTAGCAACTTTCTAGGCAACCTATTCATTATCCTTGCCATTAAATTGCCGTTGCCGCCCCCTGCATACCGCCTACATTTAATCCCTTGGACAAAAACAAAAAGGGAACTTTAAACGTTTACGCTTGGCTTGGTCTCGAGAATCGTTCTGTTCTGGGCCCCCTCTACTTGAGCCATTTGGCAAGCAGACAGGCCAGGCCAACCAGCGGATTGGGAACGCGACTGGCGGCACACATATGCTGCTGCTGCTTCTGCTGCTGTGGATAAGTGCCGCAGGACTTGGCTGTACATTATGTATAATGAGACCGCTCACCCGTTCCACTCTCCGCACCCCTTCCCGCATGACCGCGATGCAGTTGGCCTCACACCGTAGCGGGGTCAATGACAGCCCGGAAGGTCAAACACACGCACACACAGAGAGAAAAACTAGAAAAGCGGTTCAATAGTAGTTCTCAGTATTTAGTCAATCTCGGTTTCTACTGAGATAAGCAATTTCTTTAAGGTAAGTAAATTTGGGCTAACCGGTATTTAAAATGGATAATTTTGACTTTTAATGTTAAATTATCTTAGAAATTGGTGACCCAAATTCTAATCAGTACCATCTTATTAAATTTGAGCTAGTAAGGTAGTAATTTGGTCACCAACTGCAAACTTGCAGCCTTAACATACTGAAGTCCGAGCACCTTTTGGTAAAAAAGGAATATGAGTGAGTTTTTGATACTAATATTTCTCCTTGTGCACGCAACTAGAAAACTGACAAAAGGAGTATCTGGACCGCGGCAGGATATGGCAGATGAACGACTTCGATTTCACACGCAGCGAAGAGGTCAAACTTTGAGCGGGACCAGTGATTAATGTCCCCCAAACTCTCTCAACAGCTGCTGCATAAAGTATCTCCTAGATAAATCTCAGTCCAACAGCCCTTCTGCCCTTCTGCCCCTCTCCAAATATGCTGGGGCAGCTGAGAGGATGATGATGAAATGAACGCTCGACTTCCGCTGCAAGTTTCGCCTTTTCGCATTGCTGTACCCGAATCTCAATCTGAATCCGATTCAGGATCTGAATCAGAAGCTGACCAGAGAGTAGGAAATCTTTTGTAATCGTGCGATAACCCCGACGAGTGCAGAACTTGAAACTCAACCCTTAAGCGGGGCCTGGAACAATGCCAGGAGCAGGAGCGGCAGCAGCAGCAGCGGCGACTGCAATGCAATTGCATGTCCAGCCTAGCAGGATGCCAGGCAGTCGGATTCAGGCAGGTCCTTGCCGGCAATTAGAACACAAGCGATTGCCACGGCCGTAGCTTCCACTCTTTATTTTCTTTTTTGTTTATTTACATACATATCGGAATGGCATTATAATGCGAATAATGGCGCAGGGATTGAGCGGTTCCTGCGATGCATTCTGCATTCCTATTGTCCTTCAAAAGGAGCGAGAGCGAACGAGTCCTTTCTTTTTTTTTTTAGTATTCTGTATCCTCGCCGTATCTTTTGTGCCGGTCAATATGCCTGGTGGGATGCAATGACCGGACTGCAGGACAACGGACAGAGGACATCGAACGAGAAGGACCGATTCCAAAACGCATAACGAGCCGCAAAAAGGAGCGAAGCAATTTGCATTGTGCCATTGCAGGGACAGGAAGCCGGATAGGCCAGAGATGAAATTAATACGCATAAATTACATGGCGGATAAGCGAGATGAGAGCAGCCATGGGAAAACCTCCTCATCAACGGTCCAGAGAATGCCTACAACTGGGCAGTCCTTCTGCACCCGACGCCTCAAGTCCCATAATGATCATCGGTGCTTTTCAAGTAGTTTATATACCAAGCCCTAATTAAAAGTCTCGGCTTTCAGATCCAAACATTTTCCAAATACGACAGAAAAACGACACAAGTTTGTTCACAATGCAAAAGTTTGCCATGAAATAAATAGCAGATGCACTGGCAAGAATATTTTATTTACTATAGATTTTTTAATATCCCACAAAAATTGAAAGAGAAATACCAAAAATGAACTAAAAATGCTCATTTCTCAAAGTATAAATTATTGCATGATAAAATTAAATTTAAAATAAAAAATATGTATGCTTTTTTTTAGCCATGTAAACTCTAGGAAAATGTTGCCACTTAGGGTTTTGCAGCAGGTAACGTGAAAACTGTTTGCTAACTGAGGCACCGGAAGCAGACTGGATAGAACAGGATAGAGCCAGCTAGAGCAGAGGGGTGAGGTGAAGTGAGACGAAAGGGGCCAGGACAAACTAGCGACTGCAATTTGCTGAGGCTTCTACCGAGAAACTGAAGGAACGAACCCAGGTCGACGCTGCTTGTCGGCCATTCCTTTTCCGGTTGTGCTTGGCAACTTTTGCTATTGTCGTAGGTCCTCGAAACGGGAGCAGGACAAGTCAAAGAACCAACAGCCGTCTGGCTAGGCCACTTGCCTTGCAGCTAGCCAAAGGAACCTGCCGCAGGACTCTGTCGGCACACACACGCCATATGCGCAGAAGGACAACAATTGAATTACAAAATTATTTGCTGCTGTTGCGCTGCTCCTGTCGTCTTCGTCGACGGCGACGTCTTCTGAGGACGAAGACGACCGACAGAACTAGTTGGAGAGCTTGCAGGACAGCCAGACAGAATTGGAAGGGGCGGGGATATGAAATGGCTAGGGATAGGGGCTAGGACAAGGGCTCCCTCAAGTGGCTGAGGACATGTTTTCTAAAACGGAAATTAGGTGACAGGACGAGCCGAACAAGCGGGCTTTTCGTTCTTGTCGACATCGTCTTGGGTCAACTTTAATTGCCGCTTTGTTCGGGTTTGCACACTCGGAAAAAGAATAAACAAAGACATTGTTTAAGAGAATAAGAGTTAAGAAATATATTTCTGTTTTTTTGATAAATGTAAATATTATTTATTCAAATGTTTTTTGTTATTTTTTTGTATTTTTAATCTTAACCAAACATAAAGAAGATTATAATTTTGAGCATAGCCATTTACATTATTTTTTATATTTATTTTAAAACGTTGAATCGAAGAAATAGGGGTACCTACAAAAAGTATATATACAATTTTTCAGGTTAACATTTATCAAAAAAAAAAAACAAATTAAATATATTATTATTCATACTAGAATGCACAGCTGGCTAATAAGTGCAATAACCGAAAACTAAAAACCAAAAATTTTAGAAATGAGTCATAAGAATGGCCAAATCATTAACCATTAATCATTGAACGGATATATTTGTATTATAACAGATTTATTCGGCAAAGTTCAAGTTTCCTGAAAAGCCTAAAGAATGTATCGGGGTCATCAAGCACCATACCCTCAAGATCATACTACGGCTCCGTGCATCATAAACCTTCCGCAGCTCCGTTCAATGAGTGCGCAACGTGTATCTAAGGCAAACACGGCGGCAATTAGCGCTTCTTGGTTTGCCCGATAACACTTGGGGGCCTTAGAAAAGCCGGAGAGCGCAGCATTATACACTTTGTATCTGCAGATGTATCTGTATTTGTGTCTGTTAATGTATCTGTATCTGCGAGTGGGCCGCATTTGTATCTCTCAGACTGTCTGGCTGAGCGAGCGTGCGAGAGTCGCGTGTGCAATGCTGCAAAAATGTTCAAATTCATTGCATTTAGCTATATATTTTTTACTTTTCTGTTTTTTTTTCTTGATTTTTGGTTTGGGTTATCGTCTGGCAACGGCAATCATAACAGCCAGGGGCGTCGAGGTAGAGGGGGTGCTATATTTTCAGACCAGACCAGTGCGAATACAAAACAAAATGATGCAGAAAAGCGAGAGGTGCGGTGAGTTTCGTGGATGACGAAAACTGAAACGAGCCAAACGCACGAAGACTCTGCCGATTTTGGTGCATGAGGATTCAGATTCACCCGAGCAGAGGAGTTGGGCAAAATCGAAGGGGCAGGAGCAGGCAACCAGGCAGCAGCAGCAACGACGACGACGTCGACGACTTTGTGGATTTTGATTCTGGGTCATTCACCCTTGACAAAAAACATTTTTACTCTGTGTTAGGCCGCTTTTGTATGCGGTGTTGCGCTGCCGTTTGCTTTGTTGCTGTTGCTGTTGTTGCTGTTGTTGCTGTTGCTGCTGATTGCTGACGTACAGGCATCCACATTTGGACTCCACTCTCCACTTGATTTCGCTTATTTGGCTGCCCGGGATCGGGGATCTGATCTGATTGGAGTGCTGTAGAGTGGATCGAATGAAGACGCTTTGCATATGTCCAAGTCCAAATCCATGTCCATTTGTCCGGTTCTCTTGTCATTGTCCGGCATTGTCTACGCTCGCTTTTGTTTTATTATATTTACGCCCCAAACAACCATTTCTGTTTGATTTTGTTTAAATTGTTGTCCCTTGTCTGGCATTCTAAGATGTTTTTTTTTGTTTTGGTTTTGTTTTTGCCATCTTGGTCTTCTGTGTTTATCTCATTGCGCTTTTTGTTCTCGGCTGGTTTTTGAACCCTCGCCTCGATTTAGAAGGCATTTTTTGTACAAAAAAGAAAAAGATGGAAACCATTTTTGGCCCTGGACCTGATAAATATTATCGCAAATTAGTCAGTGCTTGCGGCTATTAATATTCTCGATCATCGCAAGCATGGTGCAAATATAATATTTAGGATGCTGCGAGTTCAAAAAACGTTTATCTTTCAGTTTATTGCTCTTGGAATGAGTTTTTAGGACAAATATTGAATTCTTTTTCAAGTTTGTTATTAAGAAGATTAACTTATCTTTCTTTGTATGAAAGTGTACAGTGTAAGCCTAACTAACAATATAGACAGAATAGCTACTATTTGCAAGCATTTCAGATTAAAGGCTTTCGTTATTTTCCATCAGTTTGTGTCAAACTTTCAAATTTTCCCGACTTGTTCAATCCCGAGTTGGCAAAACTTTTAATGCCCTGGCACATGGCCGAATTAAAACGTTATCTGCCATGCAGCGTTGCCAAATCTCCTGGCTGCCTAGCTGCTCCATGCAACATCATCCAATAGACATGCCCCCATTGAAAAACTCTCTCCTCGCCAGTTTGGCACAAAGCAATTGCCATGGCCATTTAGGACAACTGCAGGAACAACAACAACAGCAACAAATGCGGAATTTACACAACAATCAATTACAGTAGCCGGTGCTAACGAAAACAAAAAGCGAATGGGCCAACTGAAACAAAACACAGGAGACCGGCGAAAAGAGGCCAGAACAAAATAACAAAACACTAACAACAAAAGTTACACATTTTTATCCCATCTATGTAGAATGTATTTTAGTTTCAGATACGTTTTTTTTTATTTGATTATACAAAATATTTTCTTAAAATTTTTAAAGATATTTTGTATAATGGTAAACATTAAATAAATTATGATAACTATTTAATTTTTCATATTGTAAAAAGGAGAGGAAGAAATATTTTTCCAAGTGCATTACAGCGATTCCCACGTGCAAAATAAAACAGTGCCGGAGGCGCGTAGATTTATCTGCATTATGCCACACCGATGCAGGCACGCATACCAATCTACTGGCTCACAGATACACCCACACGCGCTCAGTCACACACACGTACGGAAATGTCAGTCGACAAACTGGAAATTATGTTTGTGCCGAATTTTAGTTTGGTCGGCCAAGAGGATCCCCCTGTAATCCAACTGGCAAAAAAGCGACTGACCGGGGGAAAAACAAAGGCAAAACAAAAACGACAGGTGTAATAAATAACCCAAGCGAAATGGCCAGGACGTGGACGCAGCAATGTAATGGAAAGTGCTGCAATGCGAGTGCACAGGATGGGTCAAGGAAGGGGTCACCCAGCTCGTCCACTAATTCGTGTCATTTAGCGCAGGTGGCGACATGGAAAGGGCAAGAGGAGCAGGAAGAGGATCTGCATGGGGAGCAGGATGAGCAGAAGCAGTATGGATAGCAGGAGGAGGAACAGGACGACCACAACAGATTGACGCTGAACGATAGCGCCAGGAAATGGCTCTTGCTCCAGGAACGAAAGCCACAACCTGTGACCACAGCCGCAAAGTTGCCAAAATAGCTGCTCTGGGTGCTGACCCGAATCTGGATTAATTCAATCCCTATCACAGGCGGCTTCAATAATTCAGCAGGGGCGTTGTGTTGCCTGAGAGGGTCACTGGGCAGGGATATTTACAGTACAGGGGATGATGTGTATTTTTAATAAAACGATATTAGTAGTATACTATAAATGGCATAACTACAAATGGCATATACCTTTTTTCTAATGATTAATTATAAAAAAAAGTATAAATATCAAAACTTTCTGAATTTCTAGAATATATTTCAAATGTGATTACATAAAACATTACTTTTAAAGGGATCTTTTAGTTATGTTTTCAAAACTTTTAGAAACCCTTAAAAATATATCTTCCACACCCCTGAACGTATCCGTTTAATTTCTTAGGGTTCGGAGAATATTAGTAAAAACCATTGTGGAAATCCTGCCAGATTTTCCATATTAAATTAATGATCCAAGTACCAGCCGTTACCGCACTAAAATTCCCATTAAGCTAACTACAACAATGTCCTATAAATTTGAACACCTTTGCTTTCAGCCCTTTCGGCCAATATCCATTTTTGGCCACGTTCCAACGGCTTACCGCTGCCAATTTTGGCCTATTTTGAATGCAGTATAATAAACATTTGAATTCAGTGAACTTTCCCTCCTTTCTTTTCTGGCCCACTAGTTCGATAACGTTAAGCCGGTTCGATAGCCGATAGCTGAACCGGCTTGCTCCCACACATATCATATCACGCGCTTTTGCAGCACTGGTATTTTGAGGGCGTAGTTTTTATCGCTTAACGATAGGCAGATTGTATCTTGCTATCGATAATAGTATTGAGGGCGTAGTTCCAACAAGTGCATCTCAATTTTCTATTACTAATCGTAGCTTAAGCGTTGGCTTGGCTCGCCCTAGAATCTCAATTTATGTTTACTTCTTAACTTAAGTGTGTTATTTATTTGGTTCGCAAAAAGGGTGTACGTAGGCAGAAGGATAAAATGTTCCCGTCGTCGATTTTGTGGCGCAGCTACCTGCTTTTTATGCTGGTACTGGCCGTGGGCGTGTTCGCCCAACACGAGTGGCAGGCGCGGGATGCTTTCGACGAGATCAAGCGGCAGTTCGACAAAGTGAACGCGGATAACTGTCCTATCCAGCACCACTCAGATCTGTTTATGCCAATGGACTCGGTGTCCCACAAACCCGACATCAAGGAGGTGAACGTTAATCCGGTGTTTCCCAATCGTACTGCTCTGCTGCATCTGCAAAATATGGCCCTTAGCAGAAGTTTCTTCTGGAGCTACATCCTTCAGTCGAGATTCATTCGACCCGCTATAAACGACACCTACGATCCCGGCATGATGTATTACTTCTTGTCCACCGTCGCTGACGTCTCCGCCAATCCCCACATCAACGCCTCGGCTGTGTACTTTTCGCCCAACAGCTCGTATTCCTCATCGTATCGTGGTTTCTTCAACAAGACCTTCCCGAGATTTGGGCCAAGAACCTTCCGGCTGGACGATTTTAACGACCCCATTCACCTGCAGAAGATATCTACGATGAACACCTTTGATGTTCAGGATCTCGGTGCCCATCATCCCGATTCTATATCCAAGGATTACACCCACGACCTGTATAAGATCAATGAGTGGTACCGCGCCTGGCTGCCGGACAACGTGGAAGGAAGGCATGACACAAAGATCACCTATCAAGTGGAGATTCGCTATGCTAACAACACCAATGAAACATTCACCTTTCACGGACCGCCTGGCTCTGAGGAAACCCCAGGACCCATTAAGTTCACTAGGCCGTACTTCGATTGTGGCAGGTCCAACAAGTGGCTGGTAGCGGCCGTAGTGCCCATTGCGGATATTTATCCCCGACACACCCAGTTCCGGCACATTGAATATCCCAAGTAAGCTTTGCTTAATGGCCCTCTTATTGCCTGCTCCTAATTGTCCTAATCCTTTCAGATACACCGCCGTTTCGGTACTTGAGATGGATTTTGAGCGTATAGACATCAATCAGTGTCCATTGGGCGAAGGCAACAAGGGACCGAATCACTTTGCTGATACGGCGCGGTGTAAAAAAGAAACCACAGAGTGCGAGCCACTTCAAGGTTGGGGTTTCAGGCGTGGTGGCTACCAGTGTCGCTGTAAACCGGGCTTCCGGCTGCCTAACGTCGTGCGGCGACCCTATCTGGGCGAGATTGTGGAGCGGGCCTCGGCAGAGCAGTACTACAATGAGTACGACTGCCTTAAAATTGGCTGTAGGTCTAATCTATCATTATTTTTGAGCTTTAATTAACTGATTTAAATTATTCTAGGGGTCCAGAAGCTTCCCATTCAGTGGGAGAAGGCCCCCTACCATATACGCCAAAAGTACTTGGACCGTCACCAGGAATATCGCAACTACACCACCGGCTCAAGGTCTCTTCATGCGGAGCATTTAAATATTGATCAGGCGCTGAAGTACATTCACGGAGTCAACTATCGCACTTGCAAGAAGTAAGTCAACCGTTACTTCTTTTGGCCCTTATATTCAGAACTTGCTGAGCCAATGTTACTTCAATATACTGATCAATTATGTTCTCCCCTTGACAGCTTTCATCCACAGGATCTGATTCTGCGCGGCGATGTCAGCTTTGGCGCCAAGGAGCAGTTCGAAAATGAAGCCAAGATGGCCGTGCGACTGGCCAACTTTATTAGCGCCTTCCTGCAGGTAAGCAAACGATTCAGAGCAAACGATTCCCATCGCCGCTGTTCGCCTTCACGCTAAATGAAGAGCAATAATTGATAACCCGACACCTATTAAGAGCCTTCGACGACGGCTCTTGAAAACTTCTCAAGTGTAAATTATAATTTTCCACGCGTAATTCAACTTCCTCGAATTTCCTGCAATGCCAGTTTCTCGGTTTTTACCGCTGCTGCTCCTGATGCTTCTCTTACTATTTGGTATTCTGCGTTGCCAGCCGCGCGGCGTGAATTAAATATTCAGTGTCAAACCATTACCAAATGCTAAATTCATTAGTTTGAGCGCAGAGGACACGAAAAACGGGTTCGCCACAAGGCGTCGTCTTCATTAAAGGCCAGCCAAAGCAGCTACGAAAATTTAGGGAAATCATGGGGATGAGAGTCTTCTTTCAGCTCGCTCTCTGGGTCCATATTTGCACAAGTTGTTAACATTGAAAAGCGGTGGGGGAAACTCGTTAGTTTTCCAAAACCAAAAATGTTTCCCCAAAACACAAAAATTTTAACCCGATTCTTCCATTTACAGGTATCGGATCCCAACGAAGTCTACTCGGGCAAACGTGTGGCCGACAAGCCGCTGACCGAGGATCAAATGATCGGCGAAACCCTGGCTATTGTCCTGGGCGACAGCAAGGTTTGGTCGGCCACAATGCTCTGGGAGCGCAACAAGTTCACCAATCGCACGTATTTCGCACCCTATGCCTACAAAACAGAGCTCAACACGAGGAAGTTTAAGGTGGAGGACCTGGCGCGCCTCAACAAGACAAACGAAATCTACACAGAGAAGAAGTACTTTAAGTTCCTAAAGCAGCGTTGGAACACCAACTTTGACGACCTGGAAACTTTCTACATGAAGATCAAGATCCGTCACAACGAGACAGGTGAATACCAGCAGAAGTACGAACATTACCCCAATTCGTACAGAGCGGCCAACATCAAGCACGGCTACTGGACGCAACCACAGTTCGACTGCGAAGGATACGTGAAGAAGTGGCTGGTGACCTATGCGGTTCCCTTCTTTGGCTGGGACAGCCTCAAAGTCAAGCTGGAATTCAAGTGAGTAAAGGGGATATAATGTAGAATAGGGGTTGGGTTGGGTTAAGATTGAGAGACTTGTTGGGCCGGTCCGCTGCGTGCCGACGACGCGGGCCGCTCAAACCCCTTTTTGTAGGGCAGAGTCCCAATCCTATCATATCCCAGCAGTTTCATTCACATGCAAATGTCTAGGTTTGATTGTCTAATTTTGGAGTGTTGACAAGACCTAACTTCTGACTTGTGACTTCTGGTATTGTGATGCAAATGGGAGCAATTAAACTGACTAATTTGTTTGCTCTTCGCAGGGGTGTGGTGGCCGTGTCCATGGATATGACCCAGTTGGACATCAACCAGTGCCCGGACTGGTACTACGAGCCCAATGCCTTTAAGAACACACACAAGTGCGATGAGCAATCGTCCTACGTGAGTACTTTTTTATTAAACTTTGAAGGAGTTTCAAAATCCTAAGCCCGATTTTTTTGGGCAGTTCACAGTTGTCCTGAAATTACTCATCAATTATTTTGTTTAATTGTCTTAATCGTACTTTCTTGCAGTGCGTTCCCATTTTGGGTCGCGGCTATGAAACCGGAGGCTACAAGTGTGAGTGCTTGCAGGGATACGAGTATCCTTTCGAGGATCTGATCACCTACTATGACGGACAGCTCGTGGAAGCTGAATATCAAAATATCGTGGCTGATGTGGAAACCCGCTACGATATGTTCAAGTGCCGATTGGCCGGAGCCTCGGGTCTGCAATCCGCCGTGGGACTTGTTGTCGCACTGATCGGGCTCACTCTCACCCTGCTGTATAGATTTAGTTAAGCAACCGCACGCCAAATAACTAACGCAAACTTCCGTCCAAACGAAACTCACATCAAGTCCCTCCACAAAAGATATAAACTACAAAGCAACACAGACACAAAATTGACACCCAAAAACAAAACGAGCTGCCAGCCCAGCTCTCCGCCGTTGCTCCCTTTGAACATTGTCATCATTTATCTGCAAGGCGATTAAGTTGTAGACATAATCTATTACAATGAATCTGGTTATTTGTCATTTCTATCAAAGGCAGTATAGAAGCAAGAAGCAACAGAAGCGGCAGCGGCAGCATCGGCAGAAAAGCGCAAACAGCCGCGCCTACTGCGCTCAGATTACGGAAATGCCGTGTATAGCTCGCAATTTTTCTCCTTCGGAGATCCTCTCTAATGTCCGTGAAGTCGCACAGCTGTGTGTGAGTGTGTGTGCGGCGATCGCAAACCTGTTAACATCGGAACCCAGTTAGGCCCAGTCGTACCTACACCCATTGCGGAGGTCGTCCAGGTCCAAGCTGAGGGTTGTTTATGCCGTGCGCACACCTTTTTTCCTACCAACGGATGGCACAAAAAATCCAACGCCTGCCGTCGTGTTTTTCTTATATTAAATCGTCGATGGTCCGTTGGCTGCGATTTTTTGCCTGAATTAAATATATATACATATATATATATGGCGATGCTGCTTATGCCGCTGTGGCATTTTTTCGCTTTTTGTTTTTTGCGCCTTGATTATCATATGCGCTTGAATTTTTATTATCTGTACCCTGAGAACTTTTTCTATGCGCCGCAGGAACCAGTTTCTCAGCCACTTGGTCTCCTACCAGGGCAAAAAAGAAATCTCCAGCTTTTTCATTAAAAACTTTATAGCCATAGGTAGCTGGACAGGGGCACAAAAAATATTTTTCACACATTTTTCATAGTCATTTCAGGGCAGCAGCAGCGGTGGGCAGTAACTGTCTCAGCATTCGGGCAACTCCTCCATTTCCATTTGGAAAAATGCCAGCGTCTGCATGAAAATGAAACACGTTCGAGTGGCTGGCCGTGTCCGCTTTTGGTTTTGTTTTTGGTAGTCTTGTCCCCTCGACATTCCGTAACAAAATTTGTAGATCAGTACAAAGAAATAAGCAATCGAAAGTGTAAATTGTGCCTTAAAACTGAATTAAGTGTTCGAACTCGAATAATTTTAATATCACAGACTATATCTAACGTCCGTCCAATGGGTAGTCTACTTTATATTATGTATCTATCATAGTGATAAGTGCCTTGAGAAAATCGCAAAACTTTACAACATTCTTTTTTAGCCTAATGTATAGATTTTAAGTGACAAATAATTCTAAAGTAATACATATACACATTGTTCAAATATATGATTTTGTAGTAAAAACAATCGACTTACCAAACTTATTCATTTTGCTAATGTCCCCAACGTTAGCCTTCAAATCTTCTCCAGATGTGAATTTTTCCTCACGCTTTACAATTTATTTGTATTACGATCGAAGAGCACCAATCAAATAATCAAAATCCAAAGTTGAATTTATCAGCTTTTACAAAAGTGCGAAATGATATATGATATTGATAATATTTGATATTTTAGAGAACGAAAACAAAATACAAAATATCCTGGAAACTCCAAATTAAATTCACGTCGCCCGTTTAAACGCGGAGCGCCGCAAATTCTCCTCCAATAGTTATTTCTTATATATATTCGAGATCACTCGACTGCTCGATCACTATTCGACTTTCGCGATATCGGACAATCGGCTACCTATCCACGAAATATTAAGAATAATTTCTAATTTGGACTTTGATTTATTTTTGATCCTTTTAGAATTTTAACAAATTTTTGGAGGGGGATTTATTCAGAATGGTTGATGTTTCAATACTGAGAAAATTTGTTACATCTCATAGGCTGACAGCTCCCTAGTTAAATGAAAACTGACCCATGACTTGCTGAGACAGTCCCATTTGAAATTAAACAAAAAATACGATTAATGGTTCAGTTTTTCATTAACTATTTATTTCGTGTTCAGTTTTCGTGTGTTCTAAATACATCCCAGCTATACCATTGCCTCTCATTTTGGGGGCGGGTAAAAGTATGTAGTGTATGCAGTTGGTTATCAAACATTTTTAAAAACTATCACAAATCAATTATTGGATGTGGCTACACAACTTAGTTTATATAACAGGCGACGGCTCTAGTTTGAGTGCTCCAATTTTGGTATGTCCCCCAGATTGGTTCAAACTTGAGGCGGTCGCGTTAATACAACAATATCGTCGTTGATTTATTTCGACTCAACACTTCGAATTACAAATTACGAACAACACATAAACATTTAAAAAATACTAATACTTCGTTTTTTGACTCGGTTCACATTCAGTTCACGTTCAACTAAAAACCTTTAACAAAATTACAATCCACAGTTAACGTTTAGTTTAAATGAAAAACCATTTTGGATCTAGTTGCTAGATGAGCTTACAGTTTAATGGGTTTCCTTAGCCGGGTGAACTTTGAATTTTCTCTGTGACGACTATAAACTATTTTCCTTAAATAACTTGGATTTTCTTGTTCGTTTTTTCGTTATATTTTTCCTTCCTAAGGTGTGCCTTTGAGTGAATCCACTTTAAAATATTTGACTATTCATTTCCGTTATTAATTAATGTATATAATTGCTAAAACAATTGGCTTCGATTCCTTATACAATTTCGTAATAATTATGAGTATTAAATTATAACCGTATATAGTTAACTTTCGGGGCACTTTTGAGCTCGATTCGCGGGCTCCCTTCTTTGGGTTTCTGTATCTTGAGACTGAGTTTGAGACTGAGATTGTAGGCGAGGCAGGATGCATGGTCATGGATTCCATTGACTTTTTTAGTGGAGCTGAAATTGTCTCTAATCTCCGTGCTGGAGTGTATCTGTATCTGTTTCTGTAACTGTAGTAGCATTTAAATGTGTTATATTTGAGCAAAATTGGAACTGCATGCGGTCCGATTGAACTTCTACATCAACAACAACGACAATAATTATATGATATAATGACACACAAACTATAACCGATCTGACCCACTAATAAATCTGATTGTATCCTCTTGCTTATATGGTTTTTTGATATGCCTGAGCATGAAGTCCCTCAATCAGCCGGAGCATAGTACACCACAGTTGACTTCCTCCGAAAGCCGAGATTAAAGAAGGACGTCTCTGACTTCTTGCGTTCGTGCTCCTGCTCGTTGCCAAAGTAGGAGAAGAGCCGTCCGGTGGCTCCGGTGGTTGTCCGGTGGTGCTCCGCCCGCCCAGCACCACCGTGGACACTGTGACTGCTGCTCTGGCGGTGGATCTTGGTTAGCGAGGTGTGCGAGTGCTGGCGCTGCAGGTGCTGTTGGTGGAGCGAGTGCTGCCGGTGGTGGTATTGTTGCTGGAGGTGCTGCTGGTGGGTCTGCTGATGCTGCTGTTGGTGGTGCAAAAGTTGCTGATGATGCTGTGCGTTGGCGCCGCCATGGCCATGTAGAAACCCAGTGGTGGTCGGCGACAGATCAGTCATCTCACACGGCCAGAGGGTGAACGAAGATGGGACCTTATGTATCCCGTCCGATAGTCGATAATGGTGGGATGCTGACCTGTTGAAGTACCGCTCCGAGGGCCGCGACCCCATCTAGAGTTTGTGTTTGGGAAGAAAGTGTTTTTTTTTTTCGTGTTGATAAAGACAAAGTGTCCATTGTTAGTAACGGCCGAGCTAGCTATCTGGTTAAAGTTCTCTTCTGTTTTTTTTTGGCATTAGTTTGATTTACTTTCTAGGCATTTCTTAGGTGTTCAAATCTAAGGCGCTACATACACTCACATTTACATAGAGTAAGCGCTTGCGTGACTTTATCTTTTGGGACTAGGCACTGCAGGGGGACAGGACTTCCCGGGAATTGGGTTCCGGGTGGGATCTCGTGTCTGCAGTGCATAGAAACAATAGCCTAAGCGCTAAGACTTTTTACTGATTTTTTACTGATGTTCTATGTTTGTTATATACAAATTTATTGTGTTGTGAGTTGTGTGTGTGGTTGTTGGTTTGTATGTGGTGTGTGTGTCGGAGTGTGTAGGTGTTTGGGGGTTAAGCAGGGTTAAGTTACGGGTGCCGAAAATAGTTACATTAAGCGGTGCTCTCCAAAGTTCAAAGTTAGCTTGAATAGCAAAGATACTTCTCAACAACATAGGCAAGCTGTAAACATTACAAAGCAAACGTAACTTAAAACAAGTTTTAAAGAGATTTCCAAAAATTTTAGTTTTAGAGAGAATAGGTTGTGATCTGGTGAGCTGTACATGGATAGGATTGATGGTGATAAGTGACTAGTGATTTTAGGATTCTGATCGAAAAATAAACTTATGGAGCTCTCACCGTTCGTTCGTTTGAGTTTCTCAGTTGGAAACACTGAATGTTACTTAACGTAGTTTGGTACAAAAGTGTTCTTAACAGTCGCATAACAGTTGTAAAAAGTTGGGGGTTTTCATGGGAGATAGATGCGTGGGCGTGGCAGTGGCCCAGGGGCCTAAGCAAAAACAGTCGGAAGCCACACGCCGGTTTGGTTTTTATTGGTTTCATACATGCGATTGGCTCAAACAACATATGAGTCAGTTTTGACCGCGTAATACTTTCGATTGTGTTTGTAATGGGTAGCATATATATGCTGCGATCTGTGAGTCGAAATCCAAAAAGAGTCCAGACGGAAGGAGAGAGACAGATAGATAGGGGAGAGAGAAAGAGAACGCATAACTTGAAGGGATGTCAAGAAGGATAACATAAAAAAATGAAAATCAAAAAGATGCCTGTTTTGGTACTAACTCTACGAGTGGCAACTGTACCTAGGCAGTACTTATCACTAGCAATTATATCAAGTTTCGTACTTACCCCGATCTGGCAAGTGTGGTGCTATTGAGTTTTGCTTTAGTTTTTTATTTTGTGTTTTTTTTTTTCGAAAATCTTTTTACAAAATATATCTTGTCTTGTTCTGTTTTTTTTGTTTTCTGTACAATTCAGTGGCTTGTCCAAAACTCTTAGCTTATATGGTGCGTGCGCGTGATGTGCCGCTGCGCATATCTGGTGGACGGTCCCGTGACTATAGCATCTCGTTTACAAAGCGCTGGCCTACCGCTACATGGTTTATATGTGTGGTCAAGTTCAATCGTTTTTTTTTTGCGGTGTATTTTTTTTGTATTTTTTGCAATGGAAGTCATTAAATTTGGCCAGTTCCCGTACAGTTGTGTGTGTGTTTAGGTGTAGGTGTGTGAAGAAAGAGAGAGAGAACAGTTCGAGAAGAGGAGATAGTCCAGAGAAATACACAGAGAGAGAGAGAGAGAGAAAGAGAGATAGGCAGGTTGTGGCAGAGGTGAAGAAGAAAAAACAAGAAGAAAAAGAAGCAATAGTACAGATTAGCGGTGTTACTATATACAAATCAGGAGATTCTACGGCTAGAGAACTGCTAGTTCTCTTAACGATGGTTGTAAACGATTCAGCAGCTTCTCAGTCAGAGTCAGAGATAGAACCAGGATTTCGCTGTGGATTATCTCGAATCCACAAATCCCACCGTCGATCTACCACTGTTCAAAGTGTTTATGATTAGGGAGTTTTCTTCAAACCTACACATCTGGAAAAGCTACCGCTGTGCCGTTTACAACCAGCATTTGATTTCAAATGGCCTCCAAAAAGAATATTATACAAGAAACTGTTCAACGGAAGATCATGATCATTGCATCTACTCCGGTGGCTCCGAAAGTGAGTGGGTGGTTGGGTGGTTTTTGGGTGATTGGGTGAGTCTGTCATTCGGCATCAGAGATCGATGCACTTGATGTGAGGTGACTTTAGCTGGCGGTGGGCAATGCAACACCCTCGGATCGACTTACCTTAGCACTGGGCCAAAAGAAGAGTTAACCGAAATCTGGCTGACCGAGACTACTCAGTCGTACTGTACTTATTAATGAAAAGGCTATCATACTGTTATTACTCGGAATAGCTTACGAAAAGTATATGGAAATCAAAACTTAGATGCGAGAGGTTAGGTTAGGAGAATCACTTGCAATCCCTCACAAACCAAACGAAACCAAATCAAACCCGAATTATCAAAAGTCTAGGCAAGAGTTGACTAAGGATTATAACGAAATCGAATGAAAAAAACATACTTCGCTTACAGTTGGATTTGGATAAATATATTAGTAAGTTTGTTGATTGCTTGTCTCGGTATGGGCTGGGTATTTAGAGTAAGGTATTCCTATATGGTATAATAACGAAAAACCCTTCTTTCAGATTTCGGGCACCGTGTTGTTTATGCTTAGGTTGTAAAAAACATATTCAATTCTCAGCTGAGCCTAATCACGAAACTCACCTCGCATTGTGACCCAGCATTATGATGCTTCTGCAAAAAGACAATTGAGAAATGTCGACACGTTTTTTATATATATAAGAAGTAGGTAGAGTATATAGCATAGAGTAGAGCTTGAAGAATTTAAAGTTAGACAGACAGATCGCACAGAAATAAAGGTTTAACTCAAAAGTAGATCAGTTTGGAAAACGAAAAACCGTCAATTCGAAACGATAAACGAAGAGAAAACGAAGGTCGGTTCAAACATGCCAATCATTAACAATTTGAATGCATTTTAATGTATATCATTATTTAGGACTTAATCGTTTTTTAAAGGTCGGGGTATTGTTATTATTTGGTTTCTCACTCGCCGGTTGCATCCTTACAAAGTTGAAAGGGAAAATGATAATGGATATTACTTGGGTCGATGTGGGATTTAGAATCCTCAGCTTTTGTATATTCGTTCATGCTGCGATTTAACATCTGCAAGACATCTATGGTAACTTGCGCTCTCCTCTCTATGTGCAGACAGCTTAAGAAAACAAAAACAGATAACCAAAAATATATTTACATAAAAGGGATAATGGCCAAGTCAACAGTTTTAACCCAATTACAAGAAGCTGCAATTCAGTAGAGGTCACAAAACAAACAGCCAAACAAATCATCATCATTATACGAGTACATCATCATAATCACCAGCATCCATATTCTTGGAGTTCTGCGTGGATCTTGAAAATGGAAACTTTCGCAACACCAGCGAAACTCAAACTACATATATGTACGTTGAGGTGGGTGTGTGAGTGTTTCAGGGTGTGTGGGTGGTGTATATTGTTCGGGTGTGGGAACTACTAAAGTAATAGAACCACGGCACCAGCAACCAACATTCAGATACGAGGATATATCTTACACAAGTGGGTAAAAACAAAAGATTGGCACTGAGATCATTAGACTGGTTATGCCACAGCATCTGAGGTATATATTGGGAATATATAAGGTTGCTGTTATGCCGAAACAAAACGAAATCATCAAAAGTATCAACAACAATAAGTATAAGAATACATTTATGGTAACGGCAGCGCCAAAATAACGTTAAGAACAACAACGAGATGGGATTGTTAACCAATTGCACAACAGCCGAAGTAGTTAGTGTCGGTAAAACGGCTTTATTTAACGGTAACGATATATAGATATATGTTCGTAAAATGTGTGTAGAGGTATATCTTGGTATATTGTTAATTAATTGGGTGTACATTAAGGCAAGTATATATAGTAACAGTTAGATACACATGTCTAGATATTTCTTTCAACAAGGGTGAGCGCATAGTTGGAAGCCAAAGTGTTGTAGTTGTTGCATGTGGGATATATATGGGTGTTTAATATACCTATATTAGATAGCATAGAAGTTTTTGTTGTTGTATTCAGTAAAAAATCTGCCAAGTTTCTGTTACTTATCATTAGCATTAACCATCATTAATCAAGTCAAAGTTTAGTTCAGGGAGAATCGATATCAATAAACACAAATTCTTAGGATGCCTACAGTTCTAATTTATATCTAATGGTGTCTTGAATCAAGGGTATGGTTTTGGTTTTGTTTTTGATTTTTGTTTTGGTTTTGGGTTTTTGGCTTAGCTTGTGTTTTTGGCCTACCGAATGAGCATAGCGAATTTCGGCTAATTCACAACAACATTGGTAGCGGAGTATGGCACGAACGCTCTTTCTGCAAGATGTTTGTTTATATAAAATTAAATATATAGTTTATGTGAGTATACAGGAAATTAATAGCGTTTTATCAAAATTAAACATGGGTAGAACTTTTAAATTTTTCGATGATTTATTTTTAAACGTTTGCTTTAGTCATTAATTCCACTGAGTGGCAATAAAATAAAAACTCCAAAATAATATTACCAAATAATATACAACCGAAATGAACCAAAGACATAAAATATTCGAAACAAACACGCAACGAGAGTCTTTTACTCTGACAAAGAAAATTAGCATATTAATTGCATAACAATTATTTTTAGCAATATGAATAAATACGAGGAATATTTCCCACTTACCGCAACAATCGCGTTATATAGTCTGGCCAGTTGGCGGGGAACATAACGAGGAAAAATCCGATGCCAATCAGAATAACTCCGGCCAGCTTCATGCCCGCAAAGTTGGCACTATACAGTATGACATCAAGTGCTAAGGGATCATACAGAAAGATGGATTATTAACCTCTAAGCTTTTCTAAAATAAATTAGTTTTGTTTCTTTCTAATTTGCTTCAAAACCTTCCTTCCAATCTTTCTATCATTTTAGTTTTTATACAATTATTCTAAATTATTCTTTATAAGTTAACCATTTTCAAAACAATGTTGTCTACATTATTGTAAAATTTTACATTGCAATGCCCCCACTGGAAAGATTAAATGGTCTTACGTGCCCCACATGAGTGCCCGGTATTAATATAACAATTTAAAACAATTCGTAGTCACGGAATCCTTCAAGCAAAAAGAGGCTAACCCCCAGCCAACCCCTTTAGAAATCATGCTGAGGAGCTAGCCAATGTATACATACCACCAGAAACGGGAACAGCGGTAATCAGACCCAATGTCACAAACATGTTGTACGTAACGGCGGCACTGAACTGCATCAGAACGTGGAAAACTGCAATCAAAATTAATTACACCGATAAAAGTTTACGACAAAACAAATGCAGAGGGAGCCGAAGGTAGGGAATGGAGATACCCACCGAGAAGCAGGAGGCTCGCCGCAAACAGCAAGTTCCAGGGTATGCTCTCCGATGTGAGGCTTTCCGTGCCAGTCAGGTAGAGACCCAACACCACGGGCCACAGCAGCAGGGCATTGAGAAAGCCGAGGGCGGTGAATATGAAGGCGATTTGGCTCACCGGCGGATCGCCCATCACCTTGCGGAACATAACCTGTTAAAAAAAACGACAGGCCAACATGAGCACGACATGGCCCGCACACGAACGGGGAAAGCAGGACATCAAATGCGGCTTGGGGCGGGGGTACTCACCCTAAACACGGCATATCCAGCTCCGGCTAAAGTGGCCAGGACCACGCCGCTCAGGGTTCGGCTTTCCGTGATTCCATCCATGTAGGCGAGCAACGCTATTCCAGTGTCGCATAGGATAATGGCTACGATCTATAATAAATAGGACATTTAAATGGATTTGATGGAAATAAGTTTATTATGTTTCTGGAAAATCGAGCTAAAATAACAAACCAACTAAAAACCAAAATACATTATTGAACTTCAATTTGATTTAAAATTATATACAGGGAATTTAAAGTCAAGCGTCATAAGAATATTTGATCACTTTTTAAATATATTTTCTCTTCTCGAATAGATCATTTCTATCGGCAACGTAAAATCTAAGAATTCTATTTACTGATTAAAATATATTAAAAGATGTCATCACGGTATGATCGAGCTGTGACTATATTCTCTCCGGATGGTCACCTGTTGCAGGTGGAATATGCTCAAGAAGCGGTTCGAAAAGGCTCAACAGCGGTCGGAGTTCGTGGAGCTAATTGCGTGGTGCTGGGTGTAGAGAAGACTTTGGTGCCCAAGATGCAGGAGGATCGTACGGTGCGCAAGATCAGCATGCTGGACCATCACGTGGGCATGGCCTTTGCCGGGCTAAGAGCTGACGCACGAATCCTGATGAATCGCGCCCAGGTCGAGTGCCAGAGCCATCGACTTAACTTCGAGAATGCAGTGACCATTGAGTACATTACCAGATACATTGCTCAGCTGAAGCAGAAGTACACGCAGAGCAATGGCCGACGACCCTTTGGAATATCCTGCCTTATCGGTGGCTTCGATGCCAATGGATCTCCACGTCTATTCCAAACCGAACCATCGGGAAATTTCTACGAATACAAGGCGAATGCAACTGGGAGGTCAGCAAATACTGTGCGCGAGTTTTTGGAGAAGGCCTATAAAGATGAAAAAGTAAGCACCAATGGTGGAGCCATCAAGCTAGCTATACGCGCCCTTCTCGAAGTCACCCACTTGGGCCAGAATCATCTGGAGGTGGCCGTTATGGAAAACGGGAAGTCAATGAAAATTTCTGGACAACAATACAATAGCCAGTTTAATAAAAATCATTGAAAGGGAAAAGGAGCTCGAAAGGAAGACACAGAAAATAAATGCAAGGAATACTGTTATATAAATCACTTCTGAGGTCAGCTTCTCCCTACAAAAATATACTATATTATTTTCGTTTTTTTTTTTAAATTCATTTAGTGATTTTTTTTTATTTTTATCTGCACTTTGAATGACTATCACATTTATTAAAAATATTCACTATGTTCAGTGAAAAATATTTAATTTAAAAAGTTGAACAATTAATTACGAAAATCATAATCTCTGAAATTTTGTGAATTTATGATAAATTCTACTCACTCTCACGCCCACGAACTGCTCATGCAGGATCACCCAAGACAGTAGATACACGCAAGCCACATTGGTGGCAAAGAGGGCCAGGGCATCCGTGGCGTAGAGGACGTGCAGGGAGAGGGTATACAAGTAGGTGGTGACGAGCCACAAAATGCAGAAGCAAAGGCAGCGATTGAGAAAGCGCCCTGGAGATTTAAAGCCATTTAAACGGATGCCGAAAATGTCATAAGACCGTTGCAACTCACCCACTGTGAAGCCGCGCTCCCGGAAACCTCGCAGCACATCGCCGAGAATATCGCTCAGCTTTTCGCATTTGCGCGTGGAGACCAATCCCAGAATATAGATGGGAAAAAAGAGCAGCGAGAAGTTGGTGAAGAACCAGGCGGCAAAGAACGGGGCGCTGAAGTATACCGGCTGGCGCGGTGGTATGTTGAACATCTCGGTGGCGTCCTCGACGTGGTGCAGCGACGAGTCACTGATGGCCAGTATATCCTCCAGCTCTGTGCTTAAATCGGCACGACTTGAGGACGTGTCCTGGTCATCATTTAGCAAGTCGTCGTATGGAGCACGGTACTTGTACATGTACTTAATGCAGTGGGTGGCTCCCACCCACGAGGCGGTCATCAGGATGGTCACGCACACTCCAAAGTACATCTACATATATAACAGAAAACAACAAGGGGAATACCAACAATATATAACTTGTGAACAAGTATGAACTTACCTTTCTGGCCAGTTCAGAGCAGCAAGACTCCTTGCAGGCCTGCAGCTTCCGGAATCGCAGCTCCGGCTCCTCTGCATGTCCATTTGCCTGTTGCTGCTCCGTCTGCGTGTCGCTCGAGTCCCCGCCGCCGAAGTGGTGACCTGTATTATGACTGCCAGGAGCGCTAGTGGGGGTGTCCGCCGGTATGATGATCACCTCATTGGGGTCCTGTTGGCTCGACGAGATCGAGTCTTGGTGGGTTATTTGCGGGTTGCTCGAGGTGAGCACGTTGCTGAAGCCGCAGCTCCCAGTCGCTCCGGTGCCACTGCCATTTTGGGCAGACGATCCCGGAGCGACTGCTGAGCTGCTACTGGCTCCCGCTCCGCTTCCTCCGCCAGTGTTGTTATTATTGTACGGGCCATTCGTTGAAGAATCGCCGGTGACCACCACGGAAGGAGTGCGCACCCGTTTCGGATTGAAAATGGCTGGAATTTCGCCGTCACGCGTCATGCTATCATCATTACCGGGCTCCTCTGTCGCTCATAGTGGTCCGATTCTGCAAATTGTTAAAGCATTAAGTTTATATTGGCTTTAATGTTATAAAAATTTATGTTGGTGTTGCATAGTTTTTGGGGACATACTATTATAATAATATTATATATATTATTATATTAGTTTCATACGTAATAATAGATTAATCATTCATTTCATACATAAATCTCTACACACACACTCTATTAACCAAAGCTATATAGTATTTATGAAGGTTAGAAGTATAAACATATCTGTACACAATAATTAAATATATATCTCCTATATATAATATTTTGCTTTATCTATTTCAAAAGTATCCCACTTTCAACATTTCAATTTTTGCATCCTTAAATTTCAATTTTAAAGTAAACCTTAGCCATTCACTGAGGACTAATCAATGATTCAGTTCGATTCAGTCAGCCATTTTCCAACCCTTCGCCTGAGCTCAAGCAGTCTAGAATCAGGCTGCTCACGTGCTCCTAGCGATTAAAGATTGAGGAACACGCAAATGGGAGGCCATTTCTCGACTCTTTACAAGCGAAAGGCGCACCCGAAGCCCACGCAGTCCGTTCAGGGTCCGAGCAATTTGCATGCCTTCTTCTTTTTACCTCTGCCACCTCTTTCGTCCACGGGGCAAAAACTGGCCTAGGCCAAACTCAAGGCTAGGGCAGCCAAGTTTTACGAGCACCGCCGAATGACCAACCAACCAGCCAACCAAAGAGCCTGCCAGCCGGCCGTTCATTAAAGCCCAGACCCGACTAGTAGGTTTTTGATAGGATGGCCACAAAGGCGAGGGGCTGTGCTCATAACAATGCGAATTATGAACGCCCCAGCTCAAGCAGGTCAAGTTGAGTGGACAATAAACTGCCAACCGGATCTGGCCGGGCAATTTGTAAGCATTCTAAGTAGAGTGTTAAGTCCAGCCCCATCCCTCATCCACAAAACTTTAAGCCGGATGAGTTACAATGTCCTTTGGTGTCCTTCACCTTCGCATCCCGCCGAGCAACTTGTGTTTGCCTTCGATAATAGTATTCTAATTGAAACATTAATTATTCAGCCTAGTTGTGGGCGGGCTTCGGCAAATGCACGTGCAAGGGTCCAAGGGGAGATTTCAAGAGCCTAATGGCTATATAATGAAGGTCCTAATAATTGCCTGTAATTTTCAGCGATTGGGAATAAAATTCGATCGATTTGTAACCAACATCGAGTTGCTTCAGAATGGACAAAAACTTTGCAATTTTTTTAACGAACTTTTAAGACCAATTAGTCTGTTCTTATTAATCTGGAAAGACTTATTTCATTAGCTAAGAATTCTCAAAACAAATCGACACAATAAACTTGATTAACCTATAATTTTAACATTATTGCAATAATGAGGTATAAATTACTCAAAAATGGGTTACAAAGTTATACCCGAAATGTCGTTTAGATGAGAAACCAGACATATGTTATTTTAGAACTCCTCAATTGCTACATTTTGTCATTCCAAAGTCATAAATGTTTGTGGTATTTATAAGAACTCAAGAAAAGGAAAAAGCAAAATGTCTAAATTTTAAAGTTTTTTAATCAGTTAAAAGTTATAAGTTTTTTCCTAATTCCCAGTGCATCGAAAATATTGTAAGTAATAATAAAATAATAATAAAATAAAATCTATTTTGAAGCTGTGCCTTTTAACCGCGAGAGAGCTTGAGATTTTGCATTAATTATACTTTGAAAAATGCATTTAAGCTCAGACCGATGTCATAGTAATCTCTTATATACGTTTAGTTTACTCTGGGCACTTGGAGCTTATCGACATGGAAGTGCTTGTTAGCGGAAAACTTTTTCAGCTTTCGATTCTGGCTTGTCTCGGGGGTAAGTAAAAGCCATAATATTCATATGTTTAATAGTCTTTTAACGTGATTTATGAATTGCCAGCCTGGGCCATGGCTGAGTCCCAATGCGGTCGTCTAGAAGAGAAACTATTGTACACCACCCAGGAGAGCACAGAGCCTTCCGAGAATCCCTGGATTGGAATTCTGTTGGAGGAGCAGGGTGAGTTAACTTCAGAAGGTTTAGGTATTTAAAACCAAAGTTTACATCGTAATCTACTTAATTTCCCAGGTCCCCGTTATCAGAATTTGAGATGCTCGGTTGTTATTATTAACGAGTTGCATGTCCTCACCACCGCCACATGTGTAAAACGCTTTAAAAATCGATCTGGTGACACTAAGGCTGTGGCTATGTTGGGCGTTTGGAATGAGGACGATTCACCCGATGAAGAGCTTGCCTGCAACGAAAAGGACTTCTGTGTTCCTGGCCCCAAACTGTACAAAGTTGTCGAAATCAAGGTGCATCCGCAATCGGACAGGGATACGGGAGATAATGACTTGGCCATATTGAGGCTGGAAAAGACTGTCGAGTGGAGCGCCTGGATTCAACCGATCTGCTTGCAGGGCAGTTCTGAGCCAGAGACGCTGACCAATAGAAATCTTCACTATTCCGGCTTCAATAATGATGGTACAAACAAGGGCAAGGGCCTCTCCATGACGGTGTCCACGCGAAAGTGCAAACAACTGACCTCCTCCAGCGTATTCTTCCCTGTAAACCAGTTATGCGGTTATCCCGTGAAGCGGACAAAGTTCTATCCAGGATCAGCACTGATGGACATCGATGTACGTAGTGATAAGCCGCACAACTTCTATTTGGTGGCTATTCTAGTTCGTAACGTGGATGCCGGACAGGCCACAACCCAGGTGTACCAAAATGTTCGACGTGCCCGCTCCTGGATTATGGAAAATGTGAAATAGGAAGATTTCCAGCAGATTGTACAACTTGATTTGTAAATTCTTAAAAGTTATTAATAAAACACAATAGAGGAAGTAAAATGTTTGTGATTTCATGGAAATTACTGATGCATCGTGCTGGGAGCTGCCCAGGGTTCCGCATCGGAAACGGGTTTTCAATAGGTTGCAGTAATGAAATCATAGAGCAATCGTAAGAAGCGTAAAAAAACAGGTAGTTAGAAGAGTCAGTTGGAAATTTTAGCCCCACAGAGGAAAAATAAGAGGTTTAATCTTCTTATAATATTGTTACCTAAATGACGACAAAAATGATTGTTTTAGTAATTTAATTTATTATGATATCTTTTTGTTTCAGTGTATCAGCTAAGCTCTCATATCGATCATAAGCTTTCTGGATAAACCCCCTATGAATTGCATTGACGTTTTTACAGCTCACAGTCAGTTGACTTTGAGCTGTGCTTTAGAATGCTTGGTAAAATTGCAGTTTTTACATTGCTTCTGGGCCTTTTTGGCCAGGAAGTTCAGTCCGCAAAGACGGATGACATGGAATGTGGAGCCTTCGACGAGGATCAGATGTTGAAACAAGGCTCATTCGCCATTCCCACCGAGCACCAGTGGGTGGTCCGCATAGTATACGGCAAGGGTAAGAAAGAATCTTTAAAATCCTGTACAACGAATTATCCACATAATATTATTTCAGGATTCGAGGGGAGTATTCGCGATAATGGATGTTTGGGGGTGCTGATATCAAAGCGCACTGTTTTGGCTCCAGCCCACTGTTTCGTTCAGTACAATGGAGTAGCAGAGGCCTTTCTCCGTTCACCTGGGAGTTCACAACAAAAGTGCCCCTATTGGTGTGCCAGTCTGCGAAAGTGATGGCTATTGTACACGACCCGTCCAGGAGATCAAGCTTGCCGAGGTGGCCATCCATCCGGAATATGATTCTCGAACTTTAAAGAACTGTCTCGCCGTGCTCACCCTACAGAGGGATGCCAAAATCTATCCAAACGTAATGCCCATATGTATGCCACCTCCGAACTTGGTCAACGAGACGCTGGTGGGTCAGACATTTGTTGTGGCTGGTCTTCGCGTCTTTGAGGATCTAAGGCTAAAAACCTGGGTGAACACACTGAGCCGCTCCTTCTGCCAATCGAAGGTTAAGACTCTGGTGACCAGCAGCAATACAGTGTGTGGCTATCATACAAAACCAGAGGCTTATTACATAGGGGCCCCGCTGGTGGGCATGCAGAAGAAGGGGCCCACCACACAGAATTACTATCTGGTTGGCTTTATGATCGACTGGCGCTGGGAGAACAACCGCATAATGTCCAGCTTCCTGGCTATCCAGAACTACCTTGACTTTATCCAACAGAATTCCAACTCACTGATTGTACGCTCCTGAGCGCTGAATAAAGTACACAAGAGAAACGCCAGCTGCCAACAGGTCTTGCTGGGGTGTTAATTATTCAGCTCCAAGCCCGAGACTCGTTGTTCGCAGCTCGAAGCTCGTGCAACATGCAAATTGTTCCTACACTTATAGCATTTTAATGAGCAGTCACTCAGCGCAGCGCAGCCGACGCTAGTTGGCTAATGCGAGGAATATGGAAATTTCATCGCTTTCACCGCTACCCTCTTGCGAATATAAAGGTCTGGTATTCGACAGGAGACAGCCGAAAATGTTGCAAATACCCTGAAGAACGGAAACGGAAGCCCTGGGGGTGAATGTGTGGGTGGGTAGGACGTTTGGTAAGTAAGGATTTGGGCTGCCTTGCCATTGGACGAATGCCAAGACATTGACTTAACTGGCAGGACTAAAAAGAATCTACCAGCAGAACTAAACTATACTCTTCATGTTTACATGGAAGCAAAAAAGGAACGTCAAATAGTCATCTATATCAAGAATACACATATGTCTTGTTACATATTCTACCTTTTTTTTATAATTTAAAAATTAATTTAATATAAGCAAAGGTAGTGTAATGGTTTAGCTTCCATTTTTTCTTGGTGCATTGAACGGAATTTTTATAGACAAAAAGTTATTTCAATGTTTTGGACCGTCTTTCCTTTAAGTATAAAATAGGCAGTTCTACAAAGAGACGTAAAAAACAAACAGGAGGATTAAATATGAAATTGCTGGTAAGTTTCATCTTTTATCATCACTCTTCCTCCCCGAGGTCTCGTCAAGCTAATGTAGACACATCGCTTTTATCGGTGTGCCGGAGCATACTTTTAGGCGCCAAATTGCTCTATAAAGCAACGCTAAGAAAAACGGCGCTCGCTGTTTATTTTTGCCAAGAATAAAAATCACAATAAAATTTAAATTGCCAGGCATGAGCGCCTCGAGGAGCAGATGGAGATGGTGAGACGGTGATGGGCAGGAAAACGTGACCAAATGACGATGACCGACCGTCGACAGACGGGAATGAACAGCGCATTCCTCCCGCTGTCTGAGGAAAAATGCGTTTCAAAACAAAACAAACAGCTGAACGAGAGAAAGTGCGCCAGAGAGGCGAAAGTCAGCTCTGTCTCAAGAGAATCTCAAAGAGAGAGAAAACTCAGAGAACAGTTTTGTGTGGGTGGTGTGTTGCCCAAAAGTAAACGAGCTTACAGCAACAATATGGAAAAACAACCAACAGTAAGAGTAGGTGTACGTACGAACACACACACATACCCTCGGTCGAGGACACCACGCGGCGTATACGCAATGTGACACTTTTAGTGGTTATGGTCAAGCACAGCACTTGAGCGAGGGCAATGCGAGAAGGAAAACGAAAGTGACGCCAAAAACAGTGGCAGTCAGACACCTGCTCAGCGGTAAAAACAACAACGCCAGCCACTTGGGACACACGGAAACAAATTGGAAATCCAAAAGCATTAGGGTGTCCAAAAGTATAATAAAATATATCTATAAAGTCTTTTGCAACGTAGAACTAGATTTAAAGATTAATGATTAGTAAAATTTAAAAATTTCAATTTTATATTTAATATATAAAAAAAAGTTATGCCTTTGCAATTCCTTTCTATGATATGGTTGAAATCTACAAAACGCGCTTTTAAAAATGGTAACAAAACGCCCGCCAAGATAACTTTTTTTGTTGACTCGAACTTGAGCACGTTCGTACATGTGTGCCTGCGGTTGAGTTTAGGGTTAGTGACTAGGCCTTGAGTTTGGCGCACACCTTGACAGTAGTCGAAAATCTAGCCCAACGAACCACCCACTCCACCCCCACTGATAGTTGTGACAACGTGGGACGGTTGAATTTTTCATTTCGCCACGAAAACAGGGCAAGGGAAATTGCCTGGCGAATCCGTTTACCTTGCTCGAAACGGGAATGGGGAGAAGGACCTTAAGGAGGGACAAAAGTGTTTTTCCAGGCTGCACAGCTGTCGTTTTGAATGTCTCCGAGTTAAGGATGGATGCTCGTCGGGGCGTTTAATGTTTTTATATAATTTACTTAAGCACTTAATGTCATTTTCCCACGGCCCAGCCACATGGCACACAAACTTTACGCAATTCTCTGGCCTTCTTGTGCTCTTTTCTATTATATAAAGATAGCGAGCGGTCTGAAAAAAAACTCAACTGGACTGGCGACACTGTTCTCTGCGGTTGAGCTCAGCCCTTTACTTAATTCAATTAAATGTGCAAAAATATGCTGGGTATAAATTTGGAGCAGCTCAGAAACGGAACGCTGCACGGATACACAAAACGAAGGCACACACAGATACACACGCACACGCAGGCATTCGGATACACTTGCTCACATCTACAATGGCATTTGAGCACACACAAACACACACTCACGAACCGATGGCTTGGCCCAAAAAAAACAGCAACTGCCACTTGAACGAGCCTTTTGACTTGTTTTCCTTCGACTTAGGTAGAAACTGTGACAGCAGCGTTTCTGCGGCGTTAGCTGCTGGCGTTTTTCCAGCTTTCCTTTTCTAGAGCACCCGACGCGGCCGTCCTGGGAAACCGTTTTGATGTCGTTTCTGGCCAGGAATCTCAAAGTCGACTGAAGCGATTCCTGCCCAAGCTACCTCGTTAGTTGGCCAAGCCAAACTCGGAGCTTTTACTGGCTCTCCCAGCCAAAAGCCCTCTCTCTGGTCCACGCTTTTCCTCTCCAGTCAGCTTGGCAAAGAAAACACTTGTTAGGAATTTTCTTTGAATTTTCCATTGTTTTCTTTGCTTTAGCTTTTTGTTTTGTTTTTATTTTTCAGCTGTTCGAAGGACTCAATAAATTGTTTCGCGATTTCAGCTGATAAGAATTTCCACATTTCGTGATTGCCGGTATAAAATAAGTTATAGCAAGTCAATAAAATTGCTTTTAAATGACAGAAATTGAAAGGTAAAAGTTATCATGCTCAAATGGTATTGCGGTATTACCTAAATCATTTTGGCTTAACTTTTGTTCACAGTAAGTTATAGATTTGACTTCAGTTCTGCAAAATGTGGGAATTTAAGAAAACTATAGCCAAAATAATAATCCAATTAATTGGGTTTTGCTTTTAGTTTAGGCTTAACAAATTAAGTACATAGTTAAGTGGTCACCTTTTTAACTATAATTATTGTTTAGGTTTATCTACAAAGAAAATACAAATGTGGAATAGAGGAGAGAAAAGTGTTCTGTCATTATTTAAAACCTATCAGTTTTTCATTTCTACTGGACTACAAACTGTGTACTTTAAGCCATCTGTCTTTAGAAAGTGACAAATATCGTTCCCATGATTTCCCTTTGACAAATTCAAATCTTAATTTCTAGAATGCTCCAATTTCATTTGTAATAAAGATTGCCAAATTGGTCAATCCCCTTTAATGTGTCCATTTAGAGCTTCCACCACAATCAGCATTGTTATGCCAAAAAAAATCAAAGCTGCCAAGAAAATGCACCCATTAATACCAATATATTTAGCCAGATCATAAAATCTTGATAAGGAGAAGCACATCATAAACACAAATTCGTCAGGAGAAAGCATTTCGCAAACTGAAGACTCATCGTAGACAGCTTAGCATAAATTTCGAAATTAGAACCCAAAAGCAAACAAGTTTTTCAGTCACAACCAACACCTTGAATGGCGTATTAATTGTGTAATCTATAAAAATCCATTTACATATGTATGGGCTAGATTGGCAGCTGCCAACAGTCCCAGCGGGAGAGATGGAGATGGTCTCCCGAATTGGGTTAGTTGGTTTAGTGTCGGTTTGAGTTAGAGCCACCAACACAGCCATTTTAAACATGATCTGGGGCTTGGGACAATGCTATTACAAATCAATTTGGCTAAGTCTTTGGCTAACCGTTCGGTGGTCTAATAAAAACTATTCTAATGAGATGCGCTGGCTGACAAGACAAAGACCATTAAGTTGTTGACAACTAAAGTCGCGAGTTGAAGGAGTTTCAGTTTCTCTTCGACCGGGAACAGCAACGGACGCATTCGAAATAAATTTTAAACCAACAGAAAAGCAGAATATTGTACCCAGCTATGCAGTGGCTATTATATACGGCTTTATTGCTGTTTGTGGCATGGAGTTATCCTTCGCAAGCGGCTAGGATATCCGCTCTAGAAGTTCAGCGACGCTTGCCGCAAAAGCAAGCTAAGATTGAGTGAGAAAACATTGCGCACTAGACAGAAAAACTTAAAGTACATTTCAAAATAACGTACAGCTTTAAATTGTGTTACAATGCAAATTATAAATTTTTACATATATATGCATTTTTTAAATCCAAAAATATGTTGAATGAGCCTTATAGTAAATGATTATAATTAATGGGATTTTCCTAAGATTTGCTTTACTATTTATAACAAAAATCTATCGTAAAAGTTGATTAAATCGCCCAAAAACAAACAATTTTATCTTTAATTCAGTTCCAGGAACTATCCAGTCAAATATGTTCTGCTTCCAAGTGCTCGAGGTGGCTACAGACGGCGTTATGTCCACAGCCTGGCCAAAGCAGCTCCTACAACCACTACGGAACGTCCTTTGGTGCGCGTTTGGAATAGTTTTGTTCGCAGCGTACAGCCAGCCTTCAGTTTCCGGAACCTAACCAATCCACTGGCCAACTTTTTCAACGATGGCAGTGCCAACATCATTGAGACATCACCCGTTTACTTGCACTCCTACGATGACGAACAGGAGCTGCAAAACGAGGAGCCCGCACCGGCGGTCCCGCAAAATTCTAACAAACGCAAACGAAAGCGCCGTAAGCAACAGAAGCGTCGACCTGTTTACGATTCGGAGGAGAACGATGATGCCTACAGCCCCTACGATCCTTACTTTATTCCACCTCCACCCCCGCCATCCGCACAGCCCATGTTCTTCTACGATACCAACTCCGGCAGTTACTACGGAGTGCAGCGCTTCAGTCCGCAGGATTTTCAAGCTAATTTCTACAATAACTACAACAATCAGGCGGAAAGCGAAGCAGAGGAGATGGTTAGCGAGCCTGAGGTAGAATCTCCCGCGGTAAGGAGGCTCGGCACCAGGAAAGTAACTCTACTACGCCCGCTACATCTATCATCGGCCAAGGGTCAACCGCCGTCAAAGTTAGCGGAAGTCAGCAAGCCAGTGACGTCTAATGAGAACGAAGATACTGTTGAGGAAATCGACAGCAGCGCACCGAGCAGTGCAACGAGCAATGATGAAGACGATGGCGATATTGCAACACATTCCCCACTCTCTGAGAGCATGCGCAATAGTCTGGGCACGTACATGCGCGACGATCGCCACACCCGCCAACGCCAAAGACTTGCCAGCGACGGAGCAGGAGCTTTCGATTCTTCGGCCAAAGTATCGCCCCGCCATCATCAACGACACCTCTTCCGACTGGGTGCCTGGTGATTCGTGTTAAACTATCTCGAAATAAACTCTTTAGGTATGGATGATCGTGTATTTATCGTATGTGTTAGATGCGAGTTAGGATGGGGAATGCATGAAATGGAGCTGGCAGCTGCAAGAGAGATTAGATATCCGAATCATATAATTGCACTAATTTCGTCTTAAAGATAGTGAGGTAGACATTTGACTTACTATACTAAAGATCACAAGTAATTTGCTAGATCTGGGCTATTGGACACGATCAGACGAGTCTTGTAAGACGCGAAGCACTGCCGGCATTGGGATCGACGGGCAGTGCTACATGGTCAACATGCTGCACATTGCGAAAGTAAGCGTGTTGCAGGGCGTCCTTCGCTGAGACGCGCAGGTTGGGATCATAGCACAGCATAGACTGAATGATAGAAGACTATAGAATTTAGCTTTTCATTTAATTTTACTTTACTAACCATAATGAGCTCATGTGCTTCGTGTTCAGTTATGGTCTGTGGCATGTTTGTTGATTCCCACTTGGGAAACTTGGCCTTAAAATCCGGCAGCTGCGTGACTCCTGGCCATTTTGATTCATCAGGGGTGCTTAAGGTACGAAATATCCGATAAAGTTGGTCGATTTCACTGTCTCCAGGAAACAAGGAGCGGCGCATGATCTATAAATATAAATTTAATAAGTAGAATCGACGTGCTATATTCAATTCATGAGAACCTCACCATTTCTGAGAAAATACACCCTAAACTCCAGATATCCACGCCCGTAGAGTAAAACTTGGTGCCCAGTAGAATCTCTGGAGCTCTGTACCAAAGGGTGACCACTTCGTGCGTATAGGCTCTCATGGGCACATTAAAGGCCCTTGCCAGACCAAAGTCAGCCAACTGAAGACAGTTAAGTTAATAATATTCTTTGAATTAAGAGTTTTAGTCCTATTATCTCACTTTTATTTTGCCAGCTGTATCCACGAGTAAGTTCTGGGGCTTGAGATCTCGATGCAGTATTCGATTAGTGTGGCAAAAGCCGAGAGCATCTAATATCTGATGCATATAGCTCTGAAAGAGGGCTCAATTGCAATATATCGTAATGGTTACCAGGGATCAACATACCTTAATTAACTGAGGTGTGAAAACGTCCTTCTTTTTATCCATCAGTTTCTTCAGATCCATATTTAGGTACTCAAATATCATGTACAGATTATTGCCGGAGATAACCACGTCGAATAGTTGGACCACATTCTTATGTTTGAGGTTTTTTAGCAAGGAAATCTCTCGAATAGCCGTCGATGGAACGCCCTCAGTTTCGCTAGATAAAAAGATAACATATTTAAAATGGTCCAAAAGGAAATCAAGGGTCGTTTTAAAAGAGAAAATCTGATGCTGTCCTGCTCCACGAAGCCGAATCATGTGGTGCTACGGAATTTAGAATCACAAACAGCGCAGCCCTCACAGAATCCGGGCTGCGGGGTGCAGGTGAATGACATTCGCCAAGGACACACCCAGGAGGCTACGAGATATCGCCAATGCATACTTTTAGTGTATGTTATGCATAATTTTTTGAGAACTGAGCAACCAAATACACATCTTGCTCCAGATTACACACCCTTCGAGCCGAATCTTCTTGAGCGCCACATCCTGGCCGGTGGCGTTGCTCCTCGCCTTGTAAACAATCCCGTAGGTGCCTTCACCGATCTTCTCGGCGCGTTGAAAGTTGTCTAGAATGGTGGTCATTGAGTTGGTTCACACATTCAATTGGTAAACAAATTCTTAACTCGCTTTTGCAAAATAAACCTCAATATTTTGGAGGGAAATTCTTCTTCTTTAGTGATGCTACCTGAAGGCAGTCACATGGAACCGCCAGCAGTTCATCGATATTCGCCGCGTATCGATAACAACATCCTTATCGATTATCACAACAGTGTGGCACCTCCGTCGAAAAGGTTTGGCTATCCGTTATTTTTAAATATTATGTGATAGCATAACCGTTTTTACTTTCTCAATTACGCCTTTTTAAAAGAGTATTTAAATTGTGAAATTGCCGATTTATTAAGTTTTCAAAGGAAATATTATATATATATATTATTTATATAAATTGATTTTTTATGATTTCATCCCATTAAATCATGTTTATTTTTGCCTCTATCCAATCTCTGTAAGGTGCAATATACATAAAAAGCTCTGCTCCCGAAACCACAGAGTCAAATCCTGCGAGGAGGTGTCCGATAAGGTAATATTGAGTGGGTTCCATGCTTACCACTCGAACTCCGGCAAGGAATGCTCCGGGTTGTAAGGAAGTCCCATGGATGTAACCGCAAATTTGATTAGGCGATATTTGTTTATACTGCTCCTGGCACACCGAGTGATCCACCAAATGCGCGTAAGTCTTAAGGGGCACACTACGTGCCTCGTAATTCCGTGTTTCATGTCCAATTAATTCAACGTACCGACCGGCCAAGCTGGATAAAATCTCTTCTGATTGCGGCAGGCAAATTGGTTGAATATGCTTTGAGAACAGAACATGCTCCATCAAACGAATCACGGCAAGGTCGTATTTGTAGCTGGTTTGATTGTACTCTGGTGGTACGAAGACCTCATCAATTTCAAAGGATCTTGGCGAGGTTTTACCAGACAGGCACACTGGGTTGCCAAACATCACAGCAAAAGGTGTCTGCTCCCGAATGTACTTTCCCTTAACGCAGAGAGCTGGTGCCAGGACATGACGGGAGTTAAGAAGCACAACGGTGCAGCGGTATGAGGAGGATCCATTTACATCCCTATATAGTATTCTTCCAAGCCAGGGGTGCTCTTCCTGCTCTGTATATGATTTGTCATTGTACAGCTCAGTTTCAATCAATCTGCCACAGTTAGCCTCACCAGAAATAGCTCCTGTGGCTAAAAAATATTTTTTAAAAATTAATAGTAACTTGCTTACTATTTTATGAATATATTTTAATCTTACATATAACCAGCAGAATCAGAAGAACCTCTTTCATAGACATCTCGAACTCATCTGGCTGTCGACTGAATTGTATTAAGATTTTTCCGATCGAATGAATCATATGGGTACAACATAATCAAACACTGGGAGAAAAAGTATTAGTATAAAATAAAAAAAAATAAAATAATAACCAAATGGTTAATTTGCATATTCTTGGTTATAGATACTTGGTAGTTGTGATCAATATTTTTGATAGAGATACTATGATTTAAAATTTATCTAGCCCTCTGAAATTGCTTTATTTCATTAATATTAATAAGAATGGATATTTATATATAAATATTTAGTTCCTTTATTATTTTCTCTTAGTAGTATAACAATGAAATGACGATAAAAATATAAAGTAGAAATAAATGGATAAGTTTTAAGTTGTTTGGATTAATTAGAACTTGTATTTTCTTTATTATTAGATCTATTTGTATGTTATTTATAAACTAATAATGTTGTTTATCCACTTTTTGTACGGCGAAATCAGAGTGAATAGATCCGGAATTTTTGGGTTACGTTCGTAAGGACCATGGGTTGATATTCCTATTAGCTGAAAGGTCTCAGATCCACTTTCCACTTTGATCCCTAAGAGAGCCGCACCATTCAGAACATCTCGATCTTGATAATTGAAAGCACACACTTCGTTTTGTGTAAGTTGAAAATCTTCAAATATACGCTGGCAATACTTATGGCCCGTAACTTTGGCCAGCGTATGAACGTTTTTTGGATGCTTATCAGCCACAATGCTGACCACATCCAATCTTCGACCAATTACTGAATGGGTATCTATATTTCCTGATAAAGCCAAGTAGGAAGTCAATATGGAATTGAGCCTTAGGACAGCAACATCATAGGATGAATTTTCCAAGTGATATTTTGGGTGAATGAAGATGCGGCTGACGGCATGTCTTTTATTCCCAACTAAGAAACTGTATGTATCGCCCTTCTCCATAAACTTGACACAGTGGGCAGGCGCGAGGACATGGCGCTTTGTAATGGCCACTCCAGAGCAGGGATACCATACACCATCCAATGACCTGGTGAACCTAATTCTGCCCAGCCAACTGAATGGCTTCTGATTGTCTTTCCATATTGGTTTGACATTTAAATCTTTTCTTGGAATTGAAACTGGCGGTGGAGGCTGTAAAACACGTTAGTAGATTAATGTCCAAGGTCAAGAAACCATATTTGTGATACATACTTTCCAGGGTCACAAACGATAATGCTGCGAATATAATTAGCGATCTGAAAGAAAGCATATTGCTTGACATTCCGTACTGGTGTAAAGTCGGATAACAACTGAGTTAATTGCGGAACAAGAGACTTGTCCTGTAATTGCAGCTCGTTATCGTTTAGGAAAGCATTCCGTGCATTTTATGTGCGTTGCATTTAAAATTGTAATTGCCGCACGCAGTCGCACGCAATTGGCTTACACTCCATCTTGTCTCAATTTGTGTTTTACGTGTTGCAATAAAAAAGGAACAAAAAAATAAGTGCCATAAAAATGCGTATTTTAATCTGGCTTCGGTACTCCGTTTGCTTCGCGTGCGTTTATTATTCCGCGTGTTTAGGAACGTTGAGCTGTGAATGTTTTTGGCGCCCGCATTTTATGGCACATTAATCATTCCGGGCCACGGGGCGTATGTTTGATGATGACTTCACTGAATCCTTCAGCTACTACGATCAGTACTCAGTGCTGACGACAATTAGGCATGATTCATTGGCAGTGTAAATCTCGCACTCGAGTGCCTCGATTATATGTTATTTCGTATTTAATTTCAATGAATTTATGGCTCCAGCTGCTCGCCAATTTCCATATTCCATGACTCTGGCACTCGATAAGGTTGCTTCGGCTGCTCCACTTCACTTGGTTGAGATGAAAGCGAGTTGCTAGCTACTACTTTCACAGAAACATAAATTATTCCTAGTTGATATGTACTTAAGGTTTTTGGCGCCAGCCAAGTGTCGAAAAACTGCATTTTACCAAAAAAAAAAACAGAAGGTCGAAGAGTGGGTGGCTTGCCTAATGGCAAAAGTTTGGGAAGGCGTTGGAGAAGGTGAAGGAAGTGGTAGGTGAATTAAATTCTGTGGAGGGGACAAACAGTAGCAAGGACCCCAACTGTGTTTGGGGGCTTCGCGTGATTTATGCATTTGGGTTTGGGTCAGAAACCGGCAACTTTGTGCAAATAACCCAAAAGCGTTTTCAATTTATTAGCAGCAGCAACTACACGCCGGCAAATGGATAACCGCAAACTTGGCGCACGAATTTGCTTCTTTATTTATAAATCAACCGGTCAAAAGTCACAGCTTCCTTGCCAAAATTAAAAATCTTCTTACTAATGAGAAAAGTTGTAAAGTCGCCTTCAAGTAACGGTGTTTTTCTGTATCTAATTTGAGGGAGATAAAATATTCTTTTATTTTTGGATGATTCACTTTTTAAAGAAAATAGCTAAAAGTTTTAAATTTTTTCCACGTATCTCCCACATTCTTAGTACATTTTAACTTTAAACGAATGGTTTTTAAATATTTATACCCGTTACTCGTAGAGTAAAAGGGTATACTAGATTCGTTGAAAAGTATGTAACAGATAGAAGGAAGCGTTTGCGGCCCTATAAAGTATATATATTCTTGATCAGGATCAATAGCGAAGTCGATTGAGCCATGTCCGTCTGTCCGTCCGTCCGTCCGTCCGTCCGTCCGTCCGTCCGTCCGTCCGTCCGTCCGTCCGTCCGTCCGTCCGTCCGTCCGTCCGTATGAACGCTGAGATCTCAGGAACTATAGCAGATACAAGGTTGAGATTAAGCATGAAGATTCTTGAGGTCCCGGGACAGCGCAAGTTTATTACAGCATCCTGCCACGCCCACTCTAACGCCCACAAATCGCAAAAAACTAAAATTGCTGAAATCTCAGGAACTATTGCAGATAGAAAAATGAAATTCAGAAAGTATAATCTTTAGATGACAGCGCATCTTATAGTGCTACTACTATCCGGCCACACCCACCCATACGCCCACAAGGCTCAAAAGACGGTTTTCCGATTTTCTAGAAAAGCTGATATCTTGGTAACTATAAGAGATAGAAAGTTCGGATCAAGGATGTATGTTTCTATGATGCTCCCAATGCGAATTGTTTTTTTCCGATCACGCCACGCCCAATCTAACGCCCACAAAACCCGAAAAACCAAAAATGCAAAAATCTCGAAAACTATAAGAGCTACACAATTTTGCTTAGGAACACGTATTTAGGAGATGGCTCTGCAACTTGCCACGAAGTTGCATCCGGCCACGCCCACTCTAACGCCCACAAACCGCGGAAAACTGTGGAGTCTATAATATTATTATGAATGCCTTCGTTTGAAGGTCAAGGTCTGTTAATATCTATTGATTTACAAAATATTTTTCAAATCGGAACATTATTTCGCTATTTATGAAGAAATTAAGGTTATAAGGCTCCACATGGGCAGTGACGTCACTATAAGCATACTCAACATACTTCCTCTGACAATAGGTGGCGCCTTGTGAATTTCCACTAGCAAAATTAATATTTTAAAATTGTGTAAAACAGTAACGGGTATCTTATAGTCGCGGCACTCGACTATAGCGTTTCCTCTTGTTTTATTATTATTTTTCAGTTCGTAATCTTGTCGAATTTAAAATCACAACACTTTCAAAAGCACACAAATTTCTATATAGATCAACTAGTAAAAAAACTCAGTTTGTTAAACAAAAATTAAAAACCCAAAAATAATATAAAACTTAATCGACGGATTACTTATTTTGAGGTATTCTTTTGAATCCAATCTAAATAGAGACGAATGTTTACATTTCCGAGGTATAAATTATCGCCTTTATTGAAGCCAGATGTAGTAATCCCAATCAGATGGTATTTCCGAGGATTTCCGGAAGCATCTACCAAAGCAGATCCTGACAGGGGACCAATCTCAGTATGACCACAAATTAGATCTCCTGGGAATTTCTTCTCCAGCTTTTGACATTCATTGATGTCGGTTCTATTGAAGGCCATTTTTATACGCTTATCCAACCTCTCCGCAGTTGGACCTCGAATACTTGGTCCCTCGAATCCCGCAATGATAAGATCTGATTCAGTTTTTGGAACCTCTTCGGAAGGCAAGCAAATGGGTTGAACAAGGTCTGTAAACTCCACGTCCTTAGTCAGTTCGATTATAGCCAAGTCGTGCTGGTGTTTGCTGTAATCTGGATGAATAGTGACTGAGCCAACCCGCAAAATGCTGCTGGAGTCCGACTCGCCAAAAACTACTCCGAAAACATTATGTTCACTAAATCCACGATGTTCAACACAGTGGCCCGCTGTCAAAACATGTCGGGAATCTATAAGGATTCCACCGCATAACAATTTTTTGTCTTCATCTACGATCCTTCCAACCCAAGGATGCTCATTCGGTTCGGTGATAAGATTGGTTTTCTTGTACTGCTCTTCATTGAATTTTCCACACTCCTGGCCAACTGAAGCGGCCTGAACTGCTGTAATTTAAGCATTATTTAAAGTTAAGATTAACCCTTTTCACTTACTCAAAGTCAAAGTAGCCAATGTAATCAGGAGAGTAGGAGCCCACATCTTGACAACTGAACGATTGCAGTAACAATGAGTCTTGATGGGCCTACGGAGCTCTCTTATAAGCCAATGGAAATCAAAATGACGCGTAAATCCAGTTCTAAATGTAAATACAAAATACAAATAACGAACACCATTTGTAATCTCGTTTAATTCTGGAAATCTGTTAAATATAGTTAATGAAGTGATGTAATTCAAATTGTTGTTTTATTTATAACAGAACATTACGAGTATGTTCTGTAGGTTTTGGTATATACATATTAAGTTAAAAAAATTATACTCACATATAAAAAAACAGCAACATCATATTAAACAATCCAGTTATTGAGCTTCTAGTGCCAAGTACACATTGGAACAGACAAGCAACTAATAAAAAAATGGGCTATAAAATAAATCAACTTTAAATGCATAATTCATAGATAATAAATTACATAAAGATTTCTGCAATATAAAGTCAATTGTAAAATGCTTATCAGATAATTTTTATAAGGTCATTGTTCGGTTGTTATTGCTTATATATGTAGATGTGTTAACTATAACTTTCGTCTAAAGCTACCACTACATATATTCCTTAAACTATATAAGGTCTAATGTTAAGTGTAGGTATCTTGTATAAGGTTAAGTATATATATTAAAAATAATATTTGTCTTAAGTTATTTTAATACATTTCTTGAAAATACAAAAAAAATGATTCATTTAAATTGGCTTATATGGGTAACTCCTTTAAAAACCAAGCCACCTTTATCATTATATTACCTAAACCTTTCAATAAAGTTATTACTTTATTAACAAATACAAAATTATGTTAAATTTTTAAGTTACGGCATTTATAATTAATTTAAAGATAATAGGTAATAAGGCTTACCTGAGAACCTGAGAGAACATAAAATAACAGAAATTAAATGGTATTTAAAATCAAAATGTATATATCTTACTCATCATAAAAAAATAAATTAACAAACAGTTTTAGACACAACAAAAATTCAATACGTTAATACAAAATCCCAATTGCCAAAATTGAAACTGCAAGCCATTTAAGTTTACCCAGATTTATTCAGAATAAATAAATAATAAAGAATTCGCGAGTGCGAACAATTTGTCAGAATTTATGAACTCGCGCAATTATGAATAAAAGATTTATTGGTCGAGCAGATGCATTTATTTATTCACAATCGACGGAGTGCGAAATCATTATGCCTAATTGAGCGTTAATTAACTGAATCAATTCAACTCATCGTTGGCAATTGTTTGCGGTTCATACAAATTGGTTTACTAAGAGGAAGATTTTAAATTGACTTTTCGCCCCGCATAGGGACATTTTGTTAGCAAAGCGCTTTGAGAAAATAGAATCCGGAAAACCGGAAGCAGCCTGTTAACATTTTGCAATGTCCCCTCTTTATTGAGAAAGAGTTGAAGACGAAATAAAATCAAACGATGCCAATTGCTTTTGGCCAGCTTTAATCTAAATCCACAATCTAACCCACCTTTAATGGTGTTGATCAAATGTCAAAGTTTATGACGAAAAAAAGGACACTGGACGAATAAACAGGGCTTGCTGGAACTAGTTTCCAGCTAACGAGCAGGCGCATGTCCGTCTGCAGTAATAACAATGATGCCAGGATATTGGCACAGCCACACAGTATTAAAAGCAGCAAAGGCATCGTCAGAAGGCCCTGGCATTGTTGGGCAGAAGCAGTAGCAGTTGTTGTTGAGCTGGAGCAAATGGCGGGCAAAAATGCAACTTGTAATTTGAACAAAAGTCAACCAGTTACAAATGCCGCTAACAGATGTTAGTCCATACGTACGTGTACTTGTATAGAATGCCCTTCTATGTGCACTGAGAAAAAATATCATTGAATTTGAATATGAATATTTCATAAGGTTAATCTGGAAATCTCTACATTTTTACACATTGGCATTGTTTTAAAACGATTTAATTTTTAAATACATATTGTTTCGTCATAAATGTTTATTACGTTATATTTATTATCTTTTTCCTGGTTTAATCCTCATCACAAGGAAGATGGGAACACATGCACAGACATGCACGGTCAAAAACAAAGCTTACATGAAGTTACGAGGTACTCTTACTAATGGGTTTTTTTGGCTGCATCAGCTTTTGTTGCACTTGAAGTTAAAAATTACCATACCCCATTATGAGTAGTGTATCTCAGGTCAGCTGAGACAGCGACAGTTCCTAGCCGTTGGATTTAATTCCAATTGAATTTTATCGAACAAGGTTTTTGTGGCATTTTATATGAAGAGAAAAACAACAAGAAATATTGATTGCCACGACTATTAAATACCCATTACTTAGTTTAAAATATATTTGTTGGCGCTATCTGTTGTTATAACAATGCATTAAAGGTGACTATAATCATAATTATTTATATCATTCTAAGGAACTTTCTGATTTAAACATATTAAAAAATCCGATAAAAATATTCTTATTTAAAAATACGGTAGACGGATGCGACAGGATCGACTCTGTAAAGATAGATTTGCCTTTTTAAGTTCTAAGTGGATTTTATTAAAAACAACACGGAAAAATACAAATTAACTAAACTTTAATTTAATTACAGTATTTAATTGATTCCTAGAATGGAAACGAGCTATGACAGTGTAAGCGATAATTGTTATCTGTAAGCTTTAAACATTTATAACCGGATTGACGAGTCGTCATATTGATTTTCATTTGCTTATAAAAGAGCTGGATATGCCGATCAAGTCTCATTTATACTTAAACTTTGAATCGTCAAGATGTGGTTTTTGATTAGATCGACGAAATTAAAATATCACTTAACTCGGCACAATCCACTTTAGTATTTTATTTGGAAAAGCTTTGTAAAATCCTTAAGCACTAATACATTATTAAGTGTCAGAGGTCCTAAAGCCCTTTAAGTTCTTAAAGCTGTGAAAAAAGGCAATTCAGCCGTTTAGGGTGATGATGGCAAATCTGTTACGGCTTTAAGACCAATCAGAATCAACCTAATGTGTTCTTGGAAAACCAAAGGATAATTCATGTGGGTTGTTCAAATCAAATATCAACATGATTACTTTTGATTTTTCTTATTTACCCATACCCAGCTGTATTTATCCGCCTCTAAATTTAACTTGCCACGAATTAACGTTGCTATGGGAGCATATACTACCCAGTTCACCATCTGATGTGCGTGTGTGTGTGCGGGGATAAGTTTAAAAGTTGTTCATGCCTAGCATTTGAAATTTGTTGCGAAATTATATTGCGGCTTGTTTGTTTCTTTCCTGTTTCGTATGCGCCACGTTGCGTATACGCGCCGTGGGCACCCTGAGGCAACCCACTTCAATACACACACATACTCACCAGCAAAAACCACTAGATGCTAGATAGTAAATACTAGATACTAGATACATTGGGCCCTGTAAATCCGGCAGCATCTTTCGCACATTCTCGTAAATAAGTTTTGAAAAGAAATGCGAAATAAACGTCGCCGGCGTTTATACCATATATATTATTATGCTGTTGTACAAAAAGGATTGTTGTCGCCGTTGGCACGATAAATGGCCCAAGAGTTCACATTATGTGTGGAAAAAGAAAAAAATCTATAAAAAGTTATAAAAGTGTCATTAGCGCCAACAATGGGAATGCCGTCAGCATGAGGACACAATAGTGCGAGATATTTCTTCACACCACCAAGAACCCGTTGAATCCTTGTAATAATCCTTGTCCCGGCAACATGTTGTTGCCAACTTTTTCCACCGCTTTGCATTGGCAGTGACCCGACTCTCCACCCTTGGCCCATCTGTAAATGATTCACAGCCCTGCTAACTAACAAACAATATGGGTAAAGTAAAAGGTTTTCCGTGTACTATTTGAAAATGTCATATTTGCCAAAGTCTCTCGGTCCGACAATTCAAACGCCTTCTATGTCTATCTGCTGCTGTTTATCACACTCTGATTTGCTTACTGTACAGCTTTATTCTCATCTTGCATAATTTAATACGAAAATGGACAGAAACGGCTACTTCAGGTTTAGCCAGACAAATTGGAACAGACAGAGGGACTGAAACTATGTTATTTACTTGGCCTTTGTCATACTGAATCCAAGTTCTCCAAGTTTTGTTTTCTAGTTTAATATTTTATTTATAAAGCTATAAAATATTATCTGATTTCTGTTATTCAAGATTGCCTAATTCCAGGGAAAATTTTGGCAATGATATAGGAAATTTTATGAAATTTCAAAGTAATTAATTATCTTAACTTAATTTTTCAAAAATATTAGAAAAAAATTCTTAAACAAAGTTAAAAAACATTAAAAATAAAGAGAAATCATTAATAAACCAAGTTTACTTATCATTTGATGATGGAAAAGGACCAAATTTGCAGATGGTTGATTTATTCAGCCTTCGTTCATGGCCAAAGTTTGCTCGTCATCATCTTACTAGGCCTGTCACATTGAATCAGATAAGTTTACTTGGCTCGACTCTTTGCCCCAGTCAACATTTGCAGGGCTTTGACAAATTTCAGCAAAGTGGATTAATTTGTTTTATTCCCAAACCTTTGCTGTCCACTTATTACAGTCCAACACAGAAAATAAGAAAAGTTGACTTTGCCAAATTCTACCTGGTTTTAGTTTATTTAGTTCGGGAAAAGAGGGCTTTAATTAAGGAAGAGCCAGACGGCAGGAAAATTCAACAGGTGATTGCCGTCAAACGCTGGATGCCTGGGTGACCAGCGGTCCACGGCAGCCAGTTTGCCAATTAAAGCCAGGAAGTCTTTGAATCGGGAGGAAGAGGAGGCTAAAGACTTCCCCAACTTTGGCCGTAAATCTCCATTTCAAAAGTTCACGACCAGTTCGAGATATAAACAACGAGATTTGGCGCATTATGCAAGTGGGAGCATTTAGGTGCTCTATAATCGTAACATTGTGAAGTTTCATTTTCCATCGTTTCAATGCCACCACATTCCAAAACGGTCGTTCGGGCTTGGAAGACTTCGGCTTTCGGCCGAGATGGACTTTCGTCAGTCGGCAAATGGCA